CGTATTTAGTCTGTTCAACTCACTTGTCAACTTGTGCTGAAGTTCTCCAGTAGACTGACAGTGTATATAAAAGGCGATATCGTCAGCATACTGTTGGGACTCTGCGTGGCGAAGTACTCCAGGGACATGTCGCACGTACAAAGAGAATAACAGAGGCCCTAGCACCGACCCTTGCGGAACGCCTCGTGTACAATGTGTCTCGTCTCCTCTGTTATTTCCAATTTTCACCTGTTGTCGTCGACCCTGGAGATAGCTGGAGAACCACTGTAGTGCTACTCCGCTCATGCCAATAGCTTGAAGCTCGTTAAGTAGTAGTTCATGGCGTACCCGATCGAAGGCCTTGCTCATGTCCACGAGTACAACCCCGCAATACTCGCCCTTGTCCACACTCATCATCCAGCGGTTTACTGCGAGAGTTAACGCATCCTCACAGGAGTGCCCTCTGCGGTAGGCGAATTGCTCGTCTGGGAGAATACGAAGCTCAGCGTGATCTTGAAGGAACCTAATCATTTGCCGATGTACTACCTTCTCAAGGATCTTAGAAACAATCGGCAAAAGTGAAACGGGGCGATAATTCGATGTATACATGTACACTGTATCAAAATGACAGAAATACATTGCAGATATACATGTACATGGGCGTAATATACCGGTAATGCGCAATATGCATGTGGATTTCAGATGTAACGAGTTACAGTAAAACCTGTCAAGGCGACCACTCGGATAAGGCGACCACCTGTCCCAGAAGACCACGAGATGCCATTTCCAGTCAAATGAACCTGGATAAGGAGACCACCTGATAACAGAGACCACCTTTGGAAGGTCCCATGAGCGGTCGTCTTAGACAGGTTTCACTGTACGTAACTCGTTACGTAAATCCGGCACCCCTCCCCCCCCCCCTCCCCCCTCCCCCCCCCCCCCCCTCCCCCCCCCAGTGCCCCAACTCTACACTACACCGCTGCAAAAAAAATTGTACAGCAGCGCGCTACCGGTACGGGCACCGCGCGCGGTATGATCGATCGTATAAATCTACGTGTGACATGACGTGTGACATGACGTGAACGTGAGCCGGAATTATTGATGGTCAAGATCGGCTAAAAAAACACATTTGTTGCGAAAGTAAAATACGGTTTTGCATGCACTTCAAAGTAACTAGTTAGTTCAACATTCAAGATCCCGATCAGGCAACACTCCAATACATGTACGAGCAATAGTTTGTTTCTTTCATTCTTCTCAACATCTTCTCGCCGCACTCTGAACTAACTAATCGCTTCGTAGCATCGTGCTAGAGCTGTGGAAATACCCTGAAAATGGCTGACAGAAGCAGGGGAAAGAGGAAGCGATTCTTCGATTCACATGAAGACGAAGGAGGAGGTTAGCGTTGTGTCACTTTGGAATTTGGCAATGGGGTTGTGTATTTGTCGGACAGGGCTTGGATGAAGCTACAGGGGATAATTTAATAGTACTATAGAGTATCTAGATTTTCTGTTGGTAACATTTCAACACAACAGGTAACAGGTACTATTCATCATTCATCACCAAACTATCATGTACATGTAATGTATTGGAGAAAGAAAACTACTTTGTAGTTTTTCTTTCCCTGATAAGCTTCCAGTCTCCAAGAAAGTTACTGTAAAAGCAGAAATTTTCGGTGGTGTAATATTTTCGGTATTCTCCAAAATCGGCGGTTCGGTAGAGGGAAATTTTCGGTAAAACCCGTTCTCCAGGTAAGTGTACTAGTACTACATGTATACAGTATCGGTTGTACCGGTTGTACCGAAATTTTCGGTGTGTTTTATTTTCGGTAAAAATTGTCGGCACCGAAGTTACCGAAAATAAAACACCACCGAAAATTTCTGCTTTTACAGTATTTAATGTATTGGACTTGAAATTAAAAAAATGGAAAATTCTTGCGAAATGTGTAGAATTTTTTTTAACATGTTTGAGTAAATAGATAAAGGAGTAGTAGGGAACGCAAGAGACAGTGTTACTTTCCTCACGTGTCATAGAAACTGCTGACTGGAAACGAGTTGTGTATGCATTCTTTTGTGTCTATTTCTCAATTATTTTAAACACGGTTTTAACCTAGCGTGGACCTTTTAGTCCAAACTCCCTTTCGCATGTGCTCTCCGGCCGACGACCTTGTTCACCACACCAGCTGCATGTGGTGGGGAATTTGATCTAAATGTAGAACAGACCGAAAGCTGCTGTTTACCCCCCCCCTCCCCACCACCACCACCAGCAGGTACAGTCAGGGTGGAGATTTTGAAACATGTCGTTATATTCTCGCCACAGAGAGTCGGATACCCTGAAACATCGGACCCAAGAGTTTGTGGGTTGGAACAATAATTATTATTGATATCAGAAATAAAAGCCAGGCTCGCTTGGTTCAAGAGTGTACACATCTCACTGGTAGTCCACGTCCCCATATCTCCGACCTTAACTTAGGGTGTGCCAAGTTCAAAGTTTGCGATATTTGTCACCCCTTGTATAACATGGCAATTACATGTATCCGCGAGATACATGTAATTGCCCGTTTTTACTCTAGTGCTAGCCTAGTACTGTAAACCGGGAAACTTTCGCGAGCGGATAATTTTCGCGACTTTCGCGATCACCGCCAAAACGCGAATTAGAATCGCCGCGAACTGAAGAATTTGAACGGAAGTACATGTACAAGTACCACCTGAAAAGACCAAATCGCTAAAATTTCCCCTCGTTAACAGGGGCGTTTTTTAAAACGCTTAAGTTGCACGCCGCAAAACTTTCCCGGTTTACAGTAAGTGTGCATGCCTCTTCCAAAGTTCCCAAGCTGTTATCTTCTGATAGCATGGAAGATGCACAGCCTGGCATGCCTGGCACATTCAACACAATCATACTCAATTACACAGCATGATGACATCCTAAAGTTCTCTTTCTGCACAGCTCTGTGAAAGTAAGCTCCGTCTTGGGGGCGAGGCCTGGCACTGGTCTCAGCCTGGGGGGGGGGGGGGGTCTCAACCAGCAGACCTGGCAGACCCGCATCACATACACTGCCACTGGATCAGACCAATCGAATAAGCCCTTGCAAATACCGTAGAATCCCGCGGATAAGCCCATGGTCTTATCTGTTTCACAAGGACATTTCGGTGGGCTTATACGCGGGCATGGGCTTATACGCCGACGCCAACATTGTGCTATTGAAAAGTGCCAATGAAGTGAGAAGTACATTGCTGAAAGCCACTGTGCAAACAAAAACAACCGATGATTGTGTTGAAATGTACAAAAAAAAAAAAAAACTAATTTTCGCCCAAACACTCGTACTACGTACATGTACAATCATCATACATGTACATGGTACGACCAAGAGTCCATAATTTATGGACTCATGGTACAATTTAGGCCCATGGGCTTGTACGACGAAGCCTTGTGATGTTCGAACTTTCCCTGGGCTTATGCGTGGGCATGGGCTTATACGCGGGTGGGCTTATCCGCGGGATTCTACGGTAATCACTTGGAGCACCTACTATGTTTAAACAGGTGTAATCCTCCCTTACTCCTTACCAGTTGTACTAGTAGTTCTTTATGATGTCTTCAGTGCAATTCGTAGATTCATTGTGTATACGTGTGATCGGTATGCTGCGATTTGTGTGTAGAGAGAAAACGATCTCGATCTGCCCCAGAGGATGGAGATACGATACCGATGATCGAGAATCGCTTGCAATCGCTTATCACCCGTGTTGGTGAAAAGGTGCGTTTTCAATGCAATGAGATATGATAAGAGGATTGGTGTTGAGTATCATGTGGCCCATTGTAGAAGCATTCAATTCCCTTATTTTGCATACATGCACACGCGTGCACGCACGCGCGCGCGCACACACACACACACACACACACACACACACACACACACACACACACAGATAAACATGTGTGTGACTGCTCTTGATTGTTTGTTGACAAGGCACTGTATGATTGTATTGTACTTCGAAGTACACAACAACCAGTACAGTCAGACCTCGCTTATCCGGTCCTCTTGTATCCAGATCCATCGCCATCCGGAAGAAAATCGTTGGTTACCGATTTACAGCATATGCCATGCATACATACAGTATGTGTGTTCGATTATCCGGTTCCCTCGCCTATCCGGGTATTTTTTTGTGGAAAACGGATGTGTGCGGTTAAGCGAGGTGTGGCTGTAGCTGATTCTCTGACGTAATGTTGTTGTTGCTGCAGAGTACATCCTCACTGGAGAGTAATCTGGAAACGCTGGCTGCAGTTGTTGAAGCTGACTTGCCCAGTTATAAATCCAGGATTGTACGAATCATCTCAGACTGGTAAGGGAGGAGAAGATGCAGACAGACACAGACAGACGGACGGACAGACAGACAGGCAGACAGGGACACACACAGAGACAGACACAACACAGACACAAACACGGACAGACAGATGGGGGGGGGGGGGGTAGCCAGCTGATGCCTTGCAAGATGCTTTCTATTAGAGACTGCGAATCACAGATCTATGTTTTGCAATTGAGATTGAGTGTTTCCTGATCAAGGAGTGGTTTGCAGTTTATTAATTTCCAGGATGATGCCATGTCTGTATGATTCTTACACTAAACTTCAAGAGCAAAGAAGGAAGTGCGACTTACCATCGAGTGTGACAACCTGCTTATGTGAATATATTGAAACAGTATGGCTGAAACCTGAAAGTGGGAGTGTGACTTATAATCGAGTGTGTCTTATCGGGGAAATGCGGTATGCTCCAGTGTGAACGTCCACTAAGCCAAGCACTTTTCTGCCATAGCTATGTATAAACTGCATGTGCTTGGGCATGTTGGTGGTTGTCCGCTCTGTACGTCTACATGTATCTGACACTGTCCGTCCATCTGTCCATCTGTTCATCTGTTCAGTGCCAAGGACCAGCCGGAAAAAGTATGCATTTACTCTACACTGCTTGGCCTTCTCAACTGCCGGGATTTCAGATTCGGTGGTGAGGTAGGTGGATGTACACAGTGTGCACCTTCTTACGCCTGATTGTGCCTGTGCTGATTGTGCCTGTGCTGTTGGGGTACCTGTGCTGTTGGGGTACCTGTGCTGTTGGGGTACCTGTGCTGTTGGGGTACCTGTCCTGTTGGGGTACCTGTGCTATAGACTTACAGTGTATGCATCACTATGCGCATGTACCCGTTCCTCTACATTGTCCTATATGCCGGAGGAATACTGATGAATTTCAACTGTCACGTCAGTAGAATGGCGCCCTGCTGCTCCTTCTTTCCTTCACTGTATCTCTATCTCGTATGTGTGCATGATATGAGCCATCGGCAGTGAAAAAGCACCTCATGGAGAATTTTGGCTTTTTCTCATTCAGCGAAAACAGATGACTTGTATTGCATAGTGCAGCAGTACTGTGTGTGTGTGTCTGTGTGTGTCTGTGTGTGTCTGTGTGTGCGTGTAAGCTGCGGTATTGGAGCTGCTCAGTAGATCTACATACCATTGGCAGTGTACTGAAGTTCATTGTACTGCGTTGGTATCATGGACATGCCGTGCTTGAATCGAGATCCACCCTAGCTACTTTGCGGGTGTTATTTCATCGTGTTCTCTTCCCTAGTCGCTGACTTCTGTTTTGAATTAACTCTTGTCTTGTTGTAGTGCGTGGAGATGATCTTTGAGAATCTGAAACAAGCGCTGTACCACCATAACTACATCCTTGCCAAGATCTTGGTAAGCTTGTTGACTTGTCCAAGTTGCTGTCCGAAGTACAGTGCGTATCGGTTATAGCGTGGTCGTGTAAAAGAATATACTGCCTACAAGAATGAACTCTCATGTTTTCATAATCATAATATGGATTTCAAGTGCACATTTATTCTTACAAGCAATTTTATCGTACAGTAGAATATATCGGTCCTAAGAATGGACTTTGTGTAGCGAAATATGCCAGATCAGTACAAAGTATATCGCCTGTAGTAATAACATCTGTCCAAAGCAGTTCTGATCTGACTCGCGTTTTAGGCCTTGGCGGATAATGCTCGAAAAGGTGGCAGATTCTGCTTTTTTTGCACCGAAATTGGCAGAACCATACAAACCTTATGGCGGGCAATTCCTCGAATTCTGCTCCATTTCTTTATCCACATACCAAACATGCATGAAACTTACCAGAAAAAGTACCGAATTCTGCCAATTTTTCTGCCGGCATTATCCGCCAAGGCCTACTCGCGTTGGGTCCTAGTGCTGCAGGTTCAACTATTGTGGTCATGTAACTCATGTTGCATAGCCACATGGTAAGCCTATGTGACTGTGACCAGCCGCATGCACAGCAGCACAACCTTGTATATAATTATGATGATCTTCCTGCCTCTGCGCACATGCACATGATATGTCACACTTGATTTATCGTGTGTAAGAAATAGCGGAAATAAGAATAGAAAGTCGTTTTTCAAACACCCACGCTATAACCGATACCTACTGTACCTTGTGATGTCCATGGCATGGTTTGGCTTCATTTCAGCCATTGGCTGTTTGTTTTTTTGCTTTATGTGGCTAGCCTAGCAGCACACAGCCAGTCAATCTAGTGCTATAAAGTATCAACCCATTGTACTCGTATTGTATACTTTTCCAAAATTTTGAAATTTATATGTACAGTAGAATGCCGTTTATCCGGATGATTATCATGTTCGAACACAAAGTCGCGCTGAAGTGATTCGGGCTAAGATGAGTTTTTGCATTTTTTATGGTATTATGTTTATTTCCACCCCGCAGCACAATTGCACTCGTAGTCAGGAGCTAGAGTGTGCCGTATTCCTGTGCTGAAAGTGAACTAGAAATGACGAAAGCATGAGGGAATGTGCATGCTGTAGATGGCATGCATGCCCACGTCCTCATCCAAACATACTCCTCTCTATTAAAATTGACCGGACACCCGCTGCGCTCTGAAGTGCAGATAGTCGAAACTTGACTGTGTAATTATGGTGATTTATTAAAAAAAAATCTATTTCTCTTAAAATTGACCGGACACCCACTGCGCTCTGAAGTGCAGATAGTCAAAACTTGACTGTGTAAATATTCTATTTCTCAATACTCCACCCAGGCTCACAGTCACTGATTACTGCAATCATTCATCATCGTTATCCATTTGGGGTTTTAGAGAATTGTGAATATTTCTTGTCACGAATAGTAGTAGATTCCGTTGTGTCTTGTACTAAAACATGTCTCGTATAGAAGCCTTTTTTGAATAGAAGCCTGATTTTCAAGGTACACTGTTGGCACATACGCCTAGTTTTAGTGTTGACATACATAGAAATACCTGTCTTGTATAGAAGCCTTCAAAATTTCTCCCAAAAAGTCATATAAGCTGCGGCTTTTATACGCGACTTTACGGTATACAGTAGATGTGATGGACGTCGGTTTGCTCTGCCTGTCTTTACCCGTCTCTACCCAGACCCGCTTCCTGTCCGATCTTGTCAACACACATGTGGTGCAGCCGGCGGCAATTCTCACCCTTTACGATTCATTGATGTCCGTCACTCAGGAGCATCACATGCCGCAGGTAGGAGTCCAGGCCATGTGGCGTGAGCACTAGATACTTCCGCTCGATGCAACACACGTTGTATGCAATGCAGGCATGTACACCCCTACCGCTGGCATGTGCACGTTTACACACTTCGTCTACATGCATGTACTTGAGTAGGAGACATGTTTTTTTTCTTCACTATACCGGTATATCCTCAGGCTACGTAGAGAGCTCAATGTCCAGTGCTCGGGGCAAGAAATACAACACGCGGCAATGGGACAAGCAATTCAATTCTCCTTTGCTGTTACTAACGTGAAACTCCAAATAACAGCAAAGGGATTTGGTTCAGTGGTGGTTGGCTGTGCTGTTGCTGTGTGTGCCTACTGTAGTCCTGCATGTACTGTGTAAGCAGAAATATTCGTGTGGAATTTAATTTCGTCTTTTTCGTCCAAGGAGGTTTGGGACTAAAGTGAATGCCGGGCTAATGTCAATTTGTCCAGCTTTTCAATACACTCTAATGATCCATGGATGAAATGTACAACCAGACAAACTCCCTTTTGTTGGAGTTGGACGAAATTATTGACCGACGAAATTTCCTGCCTGTACAGTAGCATATTGTAGTCCTGCATGTAGGATATTTAGTAGATGATGGATGTACTGCCACTGTTCTATTGAACTTGAATGCTGAGATTGCTCTTGGCATTATAAAGCTATATCAATGGTATGGTAGCTGAGATTTTTGACGTAGTGGAGGACGAAGAAGGCAGTCATGTGCTTTCTCTTTGAACAGAGAATCTCTTCAGAGTCAGACAGTGTTTAGAGTGGGTGCTGCAGATGCTCCAGGCTGGTGCAGTCATTTCGTTATACATGTTACTAGACTTGTTCTTGGTGTCTCTTTGTTCTATCTTCTTGTCAGGCTCGGTCAGATGTGTTTGTGTCTATTGTCCTGTGCTCTTTACCCTGGGTAAGATCATGTCTGCATAACCATTGCTTTTAATAGAGTGTTTTAAATAATTATTATTGAAGACCGGCATTGCCGTGACTGTATTCCTTTTCGTACTGTGATCAGAGTTTCATTTGTACCGCCGATGGATGGATGGAGCTGCATATGTCCGTGCAGTCTCGACTCACTGATGTTGTCACAGCAACTCTACTTGTCATGATATATTTGCTGCATGTACTTGTAAATAACTTACACACAGAACAAGAACCTCACTGTAGAACTGTAGAACTGTAGACGTTTACACCTGGCGCTTCCTGATTTCTGACGAAATGGACTTTTCTGAACATTCGCCAGTAGCCTTTCTTGCTGTCAGATAGAATACATGCCGTATTTTCTGGGGTACACGCCATACCCTCTTGGAGTCAACAGTGTGTGTGTGCGCGCGTGTGTGTGTGTGTGTCCATTGCATGCTCTGCGCCTGCAGTCTGGATCCGAGCTCACCGAGAGGAAAGGCCGCGACTTGGACCGCCTTTTTGAGAGCATCGAGCATTACATGAGGTATGTTTTTGCAGCTGCATGTCCTTGGGTGCGCCTACGGATGTGCACATGCATTTGCTGTTGTAGCTGTCATTAACCCTTTACTGTCCGTACATACAAGCATCGATCCAATGGGATCGATGGGGTAGGCATTTTGAAATTATCGTAACTTGCTCAAATCTAGGTCTTTATGAGAGATCGAAATATGTAGGTCGAAGAGAAAAGTCTCAGCTGTCGCCTCGAACAATTCCCGAAGCGATACGAAAAGCGGTTGCTGAGTTATCGCACTCGTAATTCTGGTCCCGGGAAATGTGCGTTCAGAGCGCGACGCGCATGTCGACGGCTGGGATTTTCCCTGTTTACGTCACCTGTTGGCAAGGCTACACCGATTCAAATTCAAAAGCAGGTTCCCGGGAGTCTCTACGAAAATATTTGAGCTCGATACGAGCAACAGGGGTGACATGGTGGATTTAGATCGATCTCGAGCGTGAGCTCAGCGCTTTTGCGCGTTCCCTGGCTTGCAGCGCTGGACCAGTGCATCCTGTGGCGCCGAGTGTGGGCTCATTGCGTTCGTTTCGTCAAGACCTTTCCAGGATGCCCAAGATCGTGGAAATCGTCAAATTCAAACCAAAGTTACGTCTAATTTTAGTTTCAGATTTTGTGGTTGCGTGGGCTTGTATACATTTTAATCGGACAGTAAAGGGTTAACGTGTCATCCATCCCTAGTAGCCTGCCTAGTATGGGCATGGGACCCCAGGGGATTCTACTTCTGTGCAATAATGCACAGTGGACTTGAGAACACTGTTGCCTCCGTTGTTTCTGGGTTATTTTATGAAGTCCAAGCGGCCGCCAGTTGCGTTATGCCTTGCGGGTCCTAGTTGTGTTTCTTTGCTCCTGTTGTATGTGTGCGTGTGTGTAGGCGACGTAACACCGGTAGGTATATTGAGAGCCTCAAGGTCTGGACATCGACAACGATACAGCAAGACGATGTAAGTAGCAGATTTTCATGTTGTTATTCGGGAATATTCGCTGCCTCAAAGGTTGGTTGTTTGGTTATCCAGCAGCTGTATGGTTTCATTACATGTAGTTACCAGTCATCACCACCTCTTTCACCTCTGACACTCACTCTCTTTTTTTTTGTCTCTGTTCTGTGCTGCTTCAGAGTCTTGACGTTTTGTGGAGTCAGGTTCAGTTCTTGAGAAGATCAAACTGGCAGGTATGTGGGTAGCTGGGTGAGTGGGTGCGTGGTTGGTGGTGGTGGTGGTTGAGCTGCAAAGAGCATGCTGTCTGAGTTACAGAACTTTTTCACATATCATACACATCGACTAGGTTACGGTGAACTCTCGGATAAGATGATCCAAAAATCGACGCCGAAACTTGGGTAAGACAAGCTCTTTGGCAGACCGTGTTTACTCCATCCGACTTGCAAGTCCTCACATGGATACTATATCTACGAACGTTGTCCAACGGTGTCTTGCGTTTCGGGCACGTTCCACTTCATTAGGTCTCGGCTATTATGCCTGGACTGTCCTCGTATGAGCATCCAACCTATGCAGCTGTGTCTGTCAGCTAGTACAGCTACTATAACAGCCTGTCATCATGAAGTCTCCCCACTGCTCATAGGCAAGCTGAGCAGTATACATAAAGCCGGTTCTGTGGTGGGTGCATGGCCCTGCCCCAAAAATGGGGTATTATTGATAATACCCCATTTACGAACATCTTGAAAGTTTTCGGTTTCACGAGTATACTTTCAAGCCTTCTCGTCAGGTGAAATACAGGCAATGGGAATGGATTAAGTACAAATGTACGGTAAAAAAATAAATAATAATAAACAGCGCAAAGAAACCCTTCAAGATGTTCGTAAAGAGCCTGAAGTGTGTCTTCTTTTTTTTAGCATTATCGCATTCTCGTATCAGAGGAAACTGAATACCCCATATTGCAGTAATTTTCCTGACACTTAGCTCCAACACACTTGCGCTTCGTAGATGTGTTGGAGCTAGGTGTCAGGTCATTGAATGTCTCAGTACCCTCGTCAGTTTTGTGCCTTATTGTCGCATTATCTGACTGTATATTATTGCGTTACCTCTGTGGACTGTTGGTCAAAACTTGTAACAGTTTAGTCCTTCCTCTGTTACATGTACATGTATTTACTGTACTCATCATTACGCTTTCTCTGTTTTTGCTGCCTGTCTCTTCCAGGAGAAGTACACAATTCGCCCATACTTATCGTTTGCCGGTAAACTGGATGATGGCCTCCCGGTATGTTGGCTCCGTTCACAATTACGTGCTCGTAATTATGTCGCCATGAGCTGCAACGTACATGCAATTGAAAGTTCATGCCCAGTGTTGATGTTTACAGCGGTTATGCTATCGTTTGTTCAGTGGATGATTTGAGTGTGATGATGTGGCCCTTTTGAGTGTGATGATGTGGCCCTTTTGAGTGTGATGATGTGGCTCTTTTAAGTTTATGATGATGTGGCCCTTTTGAGTGTGGTGATGTGGCCCTTTTGAGTGTGATGATGTGGCCCAGTGGATAGGAGACGGTAGATGTATGTCTCTTCGCCGATGTATGATTCGTTGTGCTAAGGCTTTTTTGCATGCTTTCCTTGTTTCGTTTTTTTTAATTCTTGCAGCATACCTTACCTCAGAGTTTGCCTGTTCCTGCTCATGATGACGGAATCCAATATCCACAGCATGAAGTCGATTTCAGGCTGTTCGATGATGAGGACGTCCCTCAGGAGGTCAGGGCTGTGTGCGGTTGTGAGTGTGCGTGCGTGCACCGGTCTGTGTTACGGTGTGTGTGTGTGTGTGTGTGTGTGTGTAGGTGGGTGTCTGTGTGTGTGTAGGTGGGTGTGTGTGTGTGTGTGTAGGTGGGTGTCTGTGTGTGTGTGTGTAGGTGGGTGTCTGTGTGTGTGTGTAGGTGGGTGTCTGTGTGTGTGTAGGTGGGTGTCTGTGTGTGTGTGTAGGTGGGTGTGTGTGTGTGTGTGTGTGTAGGTGGGTGTCTGTGTGTGTGTGTAGGTGGGTGTGTGTGTGTGTGTGTAGGTGGGTGTCTGTGTGTGTGTGTAGGTGGGTGTCTGTGTGTGTGTGTAGGTGGGTGTGTGTGTGTGTGTGTGTGTAGGTGGGTGTCTGTGTGTGTGTGTAGGTGGGTGTCTGTGTGTGTGTGTAGGTGGGTGTCTGTGTGTGTGTGTAGGTGGGTGTGTGTGTGTGTGTGTGTAGGTGGGTGTCTGTGTGTGTGTGTAGGTGGGTGTCTGTGTGTGTGTGTAGGTGGGTGTCTGTGTGTGTGTGTGTGTAGGTGGGTGTCTGTGTGTGTGTGTGTGTAGGTGGGTGTCTGTGTGTGTGTGTGTGTAGGTGGGTGTCTGTGTGTGTGTGTAGGTGGGTGTCTGTGTGTGTGTGTGTGTAGGTGGGTGTCTGTGTGTGTGTGTGTGTAGGTGGGTGTCTGTGTGTGTGTGTAGGTGGGTGTCTGTGTGTGTGTGTAGGTGGGTGTCTGTGTGTGTAGGTGGGTGTCTGTGTGTGTGTAGGTGGGTGTCTGTGTGTGTGTGTAGGTGGGTGTCTGTGTGTGTGTAGGTGGGTGTCTGTGTGTGTGTGTGTAGGTGGGTGTCTGTGTGTGTGTAGGTGGGTGTCTGTGTGTGTGTGTAGGTGGGTGTCTGTGTGTGTAGGTGGGTGTCTGTGTGTGTGTAGGTGGGTGTCTGTGTGTGTGTGTAGGTGGGTGTCTGTGTGTGTGTAGGTGGGTGTCTGTGTGTGTGTAGGTGGTTGTCTGTGTGTGTGTAGGTGGGTGTCTGTGTGTGTGTAGGTGGGTGTCTGTGTGTGTGTAGGTGGGTGTCTGTGTGTGTGTAGGTGGGTGTCTGTGTGTGTGTAGGTGGGTGTCTGTGTGTGTGTGTAGGTGGGTGTCTGTGTGTGTGTGTAGGTGGGTGTCTGTGTGTGTGTGTTATGTGTGTTTCATATTGTCACATCATTGTGTATCCATGTGTGTTATGGTCTGTTGATACACTTGCAATGTACTACTGTAGCGGACATGGAAATCCAGTCTATTGACCGGGGCCGCGGCGCCGGTGCCCTCAGCGCGTACAGAACGCTGCGTGCATGCGCAGTGCACAAAGTCATGTTGATCCGATCGCAATGCGCGCGGCATGCGTTTATATGATGCACGTTCTGCTTATCCACGGCTAGGCTGCATGGCCAGCGCCCTGCGGCCGCTAGACGTGCAACCGGATTTCCATGTCCACGACAGTAGTACATTTGGATTAGGGTCAATTTACTAGTAGATCATTTGGCTTGGCTTGGGACATTTTTGCTGTAGACCTAGTTGAGTAGTCCTCCCCCCATGACGTATTCATGTTGACTAGAGTAAATATCAGCTTTTTGATTGTTTGTAGACTCCATCAGTTTTTTTCATTTGACCATCTAGCCGTACATCCCCCCCCCCCCCCTCTCTCTCTCTCTCTCTCTCTCTCTCTCTCTCTCTCTCTCCCGCTCTCTCTCTATCTCTCTCTCTCTCTCTCTCTCTCTTTCTTTCCTTCAGTGTTCTGTTTCTTTCCTATTGTGTGACTGTGCTTGCTCAGGGTGCAAGACCTCTGCATCGCAATAGCATTGAGCGTCACCTAACAGAAGAGTTGATTCACAATACGCTGCACATGTATCACATTGATCGCAAGGACTGGTGAGTATTGGCTGTCGACAGTTGGTAATGCTGATGCTGATGCTGGTGCTGCTGCTGGTGTTGTTTGTATCTACCTGCAATGGTGCACGCTTGTTTCTAAATGTCTTTGTGAAGTTGTAAATCTAGTTCTGTAGTCACTTTTGCCTGTCTGCTGAGTTTTTACTTCATGTGCTGTATCTGTGTCCACTTGTTGCCATCAGTGCCACTCGCCTCATGAATCTGCAGCTGAAAACGAAAGTTCCGCTGGAGTACATGATAGTAGAGGTAGGTTGTGGGTGTGCGTGTGTGTGGGGGGGGGGGGGGGGCATTGGTTATATACTACACTGTACTTTTATACATGTCTTTGTGGCATTAGTCCTGAGGTCTGCTTGAACAGAGTGCCGATTATCTGTGCCCCTTGGGAGCAGGGTCATTCCAGAGGTTTCGGGTGAGGAGTATGTTCGGATAAGGGAACGACCATCTTTAAAAGCATGTGTACTCCCTTGTATTTTCATCATTATTTCTTGTTCTCTGTTGGCAGTAAGACCGGAATAAGACGCCCCCGGCTCCTCAAAACTTCCCATGAAGATTCGTTTTGACAACATCCGGCTGTGCTGCATCCTGTCAAGAGTACACAACCCCTGGGTAGGGGGGTTATGTACTCTTGATCCTGTGCACAAGTGCTGATATGGTGTTATGATTGGGAAGACACTTCAAAAGTTCAAAATTTTGCCCAACATTGTGACCAGGCATTTCAGATAATTGACATTTGAATAATTGGCATTCTTTTGTACTTCGCAAAAAGTAGTCTTGAGTTGCACACTCAAATAGGATACACATGTGCTAAAGTATATTTTGCTGATTGTTGCACTACTTTTAAAGTACTACGCTGTATTAGTATGTGCAGTGAAACCTGGTTAGGAAGAACCGACTGATAAGAACACTGATAAGACAAATGTTTGCCTAAGAAGAACTAGTATTCGTAACTGTATTGGATAACACCCTGTGTATTCACTGGGTAAAACATATGGATAAGAAGAACTCCCGTTGTCGCGAACAAATATCATCGGTCCCTTGATGTTCGTTCTAAAGAGGTTTGACTGTATGTGCATGTGCTGTGGTGTTTGTCTGCAGGCCGTGTTCGCCCAGCTGTTCCACCTTCCCAGTTCTCCGCACTTGCCACTCTTCTACAGCTGTCTGCTGGTGGAGCTCTGCAAGCTCAGTCCACAGTCATTCCCGCAAGTCGTATCCTTACCAGTCAGCTAGTCTTTGCCCCGCCTTGTATGTACTCAAGTGTATTTTGAACCATTATCAAGGCAAACTCTCTCTCTGCATTGTACCGCGCAGCATTCATCCTGCCATTACGTAAAGATTGCATGAGATGCTGAAAGACATCCTGGAATACAGCTGGTATAATCGTGGCCATTATTTGTTGGTCGTCCTACAGTCCATTTCAAAACTATTCGCGTTCCTAGGCAAAAACCGTTATGCCACCATCCATACCACATAAAATCTGTGATCACTTTGTGCATAATTTTTTTCCAAATTGGGCGTCTGTTATCCAATCGTTTAGAAACTACAATTGTATATGAGAGTAATTGTGGAGCGGACCTGAGCAATATTCCGAAAACTATTCTCAAAAAGTTCCAGTCAAATTTGAAATATTTCAAAAACACTACGCGTCTATAGTTTTGAAATGGACTGTAGTTGGCAGTTGAGTATTTTTGTGAGAATCGGTGAGGCCAAAGATTTACGTTAGCTGTACTGACTCGTCACCTGCGAAGGAAAAGCCAGTATGATTCCCCTGGCAAAGTAAACCCACTAGGATTGCGATATTTTTGTAATTCTCCCAGGAAACAAGGAATATGCCAGATTTACATTTTCTGTGAAATTTCAATTTAGTCGTAGGTCTGTTACACTTTGTTTGAGAGACTTATCCCCTCTCCCCTGACTCACTTGTGAGGTCTTCATTCGACTCTAGGGGATATATGGGCGATGTGGTGACCCACCGATGCGAATGTCTTTACTTGATGTGTTCCTCAACACGTCAGGTGATGCGGGTGCTAATCCGGCGTACTTCATTTGAGATATCAGCGAATACTCTGTGACTCTCGTCTGTACGGATTTGTCGCCTACTAGTGTACCCCATGCCAAACAATGTTTGCAGTACATGCACAACTCAAATTCGACATGTTTTGTCCGTTTGTAAGTGCTGGCTGTACTTGGTACGCACATACACGCGTCCACTGCATGTTTATGCAGCAAAGTCGCCTCGTTTATTCCTTGACTAGCACTTAACCGTCAGCTTGCACAAGCAACAGTACTTCTCTACGGACGTCTAGACACCATGAATGTCACGTGTATGGACCGGTAAGTAGAGAGTCATTGGGGCACACGGTTACAGGTTGATGTACATGTACGGGGCAGCCTCTCGGCCTAGGTTCTGCGGTTGTGTCAGGGATGTGTGCCAGTATGGGTAGAGAGCTGTCTTGCTAGCTATTCTGTGTGCTGACTGGCCATGACATGCTTGGTACACATGTGCATAGGTATGCAGACTACTTCTCTGTACGTTGTAGTGGGGTTTAGCATAGTTTAGCATGGTGAGAATGATGGTGTTCTTTTTTGCTTGACTCTATCCACCCGCCTGGACGATCAAAGTACAAGTAGCTGTACTGAAGGATTGAACCCAGCACAAAGAAAATTGATGCTGCTAATTCCTGTGTGCTGTTGCTTGCCCTGGTCTAATTCCAGTGTGTCCATGTATTTGAATGCTGTTGCCTATGCGCATCTACTTCCTAAGGTTCTCTACCTGGTTCAGCTACCATCTCAGCAACTTCCAGTACCGGTGGAGCTGGGAAGACTGGTAGGTGCTGTAGATATGTGGATGGCCTTCAGAGGATGCAGTATGTATACCATAGATACCATAGTGTCTTGTATTAAAGCCTGTCTCATATAGAAGCCTGGTTTTAGTGTGGACATACAGTCAACTTCGCTTATAACGACACTCGGCGGGGCATCACAAAGGTGTCCTTATGCGCGAAGTGTCGTTATACCCGAAGTCTCATTCTATGTATTACAGTGGGATGGGACTTTGCTCTGGGCATGGAAATTCTGTCGTTATTCGCGAATTGTCGTTATATCCGCAGTCGTTATAATATCAGCGAAGTTGACTGTACATAGAAATACCTGTCTCACATAGAAGCCTGCAAAATTTCCCCAAAAAAGTCATAAAAGCCATGGCTTTTATACACGACTTTACGGTATGTGCATGGCCTTCGGAGTATACAGTATGTACATAGTATAGTATAGACGTGTGCATGGCCTTCGGAGTATGCAGTATGTATACCATAGATATGTGCATGGCCTTCGGAGTATGCAGTATGACATACGTGTACTGGTGCAGCACCATTTATCATTTGCTGTTTGCGCACCAACCATGGAGACTGTGTTCTCTTCCCGTCTCTCCTGTCTGGTATTTTCAGGAAGGATGTTGTGGAAATGGACGAAAGTGAGCCGAAGCGCTTGTTTGTCACTGACATGCTGGAGAAGGTCGTGCGGTGAGTTGCAGCAAATTCACCACCCAACCATCATACTGAGTGTGCTGAGCTGTGTGTATCCATGATGCCCTGTTGTTCATCTACCATGTTTGTATCTGTGATGCCCTGTTGGTCATCTACAATGTGTGTGTGTGTATCCGCGATGCTCTGTTGGTCATCTACAATGTGTGTGTGTGTGTATCCGCGATGCCCTGTTGGTCATCTACAATGTGTGTGTGTATCCGTGATTCCCTGTTGATTATCTACAGTGTGTGTATCCGTGACACCCTGTAGCTTGTCTACAGCCTACTTGTACTATGACAGTACAGCTCAACTCTAGCCCTGTGTGTCCGTGTCTGTGCACGCATCATGTCACTGTGTGTGTGTTTCTTCTTCTTTTGCTGTTGCTGTTGCTGTGTTGTTAGGTTCTCCTATCGGGACCACCTTTTGGATTTGCTGCCCGACGAATTTGCCCCGTTGGTGCCGATGGAGACGATACCGCAGTATCGGTATGGCAGAGAAGGTGAGTGCACAGCAGACACTGATGTCTATGCTGTGCCTACGTGTAGCTTTTATGTAACTCCTAATGTCTTCTCCTCTTCTTCTCCACTTCTTCATACCAGTGGTTGTGGTCATAGACAAAATGTTGATTCTATACCTGCCAGAGTTGGGAAAGAGTTTTGAAACTTTTCTCAAGTCAAGAAGTGATCGTTAATGCGTAATTGATTTGCTCCACTCCTTGCTATCTTGTATATTCTCTAATGCTGTAAGCACTCCTTCTTTTCTTTGTGTTGTCGGCGTTGACAGCCTCCAGCCAAGCTTCGGACACTGCCCGTCAACTGGTCAATGCCATAAAGGACAAGGCAGACGCCTCTGCTCTGCAGAGCATTCTAGACAAGCTCGACGGCACACCTGGTTAGTTCTTTGCCTTATGTCAGTGATTTGATTCCGAACCTACTGTTCAGCTGTGGCTGGAGCGAGACTCCTGGAGACACCCCTGTAGAATTTGCATGAAACCTCCCAGTGTGATGTTTTATTGCTCGTGTATGGTGTTGTGTATGGTGTGGTGTAATGGCGTGGTGCATTACAGAGGCGGGTGAGAAGCTGGAGGTATTTTCTCAAGTGATGTTGCAAGTGGGCAGTCAGTCGTTCAGTCACAGCTACGGCGCCATTGCCAGGTAAGCACAGCATTGGTGGGGTGTGGTGAAGTGTGTAGAATGGAGCCGCCCTCCTGCTAGGATATCCTCTGTCAGTTGCCTGTTCCTTTGGCACCTGCTGCTTCGCCTCCCCGCATGCTGTCATTGTGGATGATCATTTGCCTGGCCTGGCCGCACATGTATTATACTATTGTTGGCAACACTGATGTTGTCTGTTCACTACCGTCAGTGGACACACGATACACTCAAGGCCGTGTGTGTGTGTGTGTTTGTGTGTGCGCTTGTGTGCGTGTGTGTGTGTGCATGCGTGTGCACCTGCATGACGGGTATACATGTCCACTGAAAACCATTCTTCTCCTAGATTGCGTCCATTGCTGAAAGAGCTGATCAGAACTGACGAGGAGCGTGCCATTCTCCTGCGCAACGTCGGTGAATTCTGGATCAACCATCACCAGGTGAGAGTGGTGCAGTGGGCAAGGGGGACTGCAGGTTATGGGTGCTTTACTCTCTCTCTCTCTCTCTCTCTCTCTCTCTCTCTCTCTCTCTCTCTCTCTCTCTCTCTCCCTCTCTCTCTCTCTCATGTGTAATGTTTCTTGTATTTCAGTATTTCTAACTTTTCTTTTTGTATCAGCAGTCAGTAGTAATGACGTGTATCGTTGTGTGCTATCCTCTGGGTTTCTCTGTAGCTGATGACTGTCCTCATTGAGAAGCTGATCCGCGCTGGTGTGGCGGACTCAAAGGCGGCCATCACATTTCTTTTCTCGCCATCAATGCAGAAGAATTTCTGCAGGTATGTCTGTAGCTTGACGTAGTGGGTGTGGGTGTGGTCAGGTGTATGTGTGTGCACGCGCCTCTCTCTCTCTCTTTCTCTTGCTCTCTCTCTCTCTCTCTCTCTCTCTCTCTCTCTCTCTCTACCTATCTATCTATCTATCCATCTATCTATCTATCTCTCCCTCTTTCCCTCACTACTCTAAAAATGAGGGTATTTCGAACAGCTTTTCGCTAAGGTGAGGATATATAGCTAAAGCATCGCAGACCTCCTAGTGTGGCCTGTTGCTTTGTATAGTCATATCTAGTTCTATTTGTTGTTATTGTTATTTTATTTTACTTCACCAGAATTACAGGCAGTAGAATGCCTTCTCACTAGACCAGGTCTAGTTCTCACAAATGATGAAGAATGTGAATGAACATGCTAAAGCTAATGAAAAACAAGAAATAGAAAAAGAGGGAAAAACTTGTGTTTTATATTTTATGACGGTATTTGTATGTGAGTGACAGTGATTACATGACAAGGGAAATAAAATAAAAAGATAGACAGAAAAGAGTAAGGAATAAACGAAGCAGATGTATGAAATAGAAATAGAGAAGTTGAGGTATTTGAGGAGAAAAGTCAGTTTGTCGATTAGAGACCAAACCAAAAGATCAAAATGCACATGTCTGACGAATGAGTCAAGACAGAGAAAGCGTGTCAAGAACATCTGGGCACAGCAGGGCTTTGAAACCCAGAATATCTTCATGGCAACGAATATATGCCGGAAGCCTGTTCCAATACACGCTGCCCACGAATTGCATGGACGCTCGAGATGCTGGTCCACGAACAAATGGAATTTGGAGAAGATGTGAGACCTGGCCACGTGTAACACGGCGATTTTAGTCCCGAAAATGTTGTCTTGCCAGCTGCTGCTTTGCCAGTAGCCGCATTGCATTTCTAGACACGTAGCCACGTGAACGTGCACAACAGTTCCGCCTCGTGAACTGCCAGCGTGCCCTCAAGCTGTGATTTGAATGTGAAACCTGTGTCAAACTTGGTCAGGGCGGTCATAGTGCAGACAGCTGAAATCTCTCAAATGCTTAAAAGCATGTCAGCTAGAGACCACGAAACTCTTCAGAGCATCCCAACCTGCCTGAAATATTATACCGGTGCTGTTTCTGGCGAATGAAAGGTATTTGGGCGGAATTGTGAAACAAAGACAAGCCGTGAGAAAATCGCCCAGAGACTGGAAGGTGCTGTCGAAAATTGTGAAAACTACACACCTATATTGTTGAAATGCCCTACACTGCGAAACCTGTGAAAGAGACCACTCTGACAAGGTGACCACCTGTCCTACAAGACCTCTACAACACTTGTAGGATCAAGATCAAAGGGTGCCGTCATGTCCGGTGAAATGGCCCTTAATTAATCAGGGGTCCACCTATAGACTGGGACCATGATTTGGGGAATTCCTTGAGCAGTCCACTTAGACAGGTTTCGGTAATTCACCTCATCATGCAGTAGATGTGTTGTACGCTGCTGTGTGTCATGACCTCATGCAACGTGTGTGTGTGTGTGCTATGTGGTCGTTTGGCATGTCGTTGTGCCATGACCTCATGCCACTTATGTGTGTGCTATGTGATCGTTTGGCATGTCGTCGTGCAGTTTCTTCCCATGGGAAATTCTGGATCAGACAGTCAAGTCACTCATCATGTTAGCTGACAGAGTAAGTTGTGAATTTGTGATGCACCTCTGCTCCTGCTGCTGGACATCATGCCCTCCCGACACAGGTGTGTGCGTGTGTGTGTACATGTGTGTGCATGCACGCGTGTGTGTGCGTATGTGCGCTCGTGTGTACGTGTGAGAGAGTGTGTGTGTGTGTGTGTATGCGTGTGGAAAAATGAAAAATAGGGATTCACTGGCCAGAAAAAGTCACTTCAATCAGCTGTGTGGTGGATACCAGGCTAAAAATAGTGGCGGTCAATTCATCAGCCTTGCAAGCTGTTGAATGGTGTAATCCCAGCACAAGTTGCTATGTCTAACATAGCTGTTCGCTATCATCGCTTCCGCGATGGGCAGGTCTGAGGTCTGAGGTATGCGTGTGTGTGCGCACGTGCATGCATGCGTGTACATCTGTGTGTGGCTATGCTACGAGACCAGAATTGGAGTTTGCATTCCAAAGGAGAACATAGTGGCCTTGACCTGCTGACAAACACTAACTGGTACATTGCAGGGCTGCCACACTTGGAGGGAGAAAAATCTGACGGGGGTCCGGGGGTGTCCCGCGGCGGAATTTTTTAGCAAAATGGCTTGCTGTTGGGGCCCCAGAACACATTTTTAACTGTCCACACACATGCAAGCACGTGTGCATTTTACAGCTACATGTACATGTACATGTACAATGACTGGCCAAACGCGACCTGGAAGCGCCGAATGGCCAACTGGACTAAAAAGCGCTCAAAATAAAATAATCGGTTGTCCCTCTTTGGGAACAAAATCGGTCGGTTTGTCCGACAGGCGATCAAAAATCGGAGCAAGTGGCAGCCCTGACATTGTACTAAGACGCTTATGTGTGTGTGTGGGGGGGGGGGGTGCATATAGTGGTTCATAGCGGTTGTAAGTGCAGTAGTGGTTCATAGCGGTTGTAAGTGCAGTAGTGGTTCATAGCGGTTGTAAGTGCTGTAGTGGTTCATACACTCATTGCCGAAGATGCGTTGCCATGGTGCAAAAATGGCGTTGGATGGCTACGCCTGAGCGCTCGCGCTGTCATCGCAGCCCACGACACGTCTTCCTGCTGTGCTTTCTTGACAAAATTATTTGTTTCGCTTTGTCCTTGTTGCTGGAGGGTTTGATTCTTTGAGATACTGTAGAGCGATTTGGAGTTGGTCAGCCGAGAGTAGTCGTGAGAAATGGAGAAAGAACGTGAGAGAACCTGAACTGCGGATAAAGTCGCTCTGTTCCAGCGGAGGCGAGCAGAGGGTTACGATCTCAGTGCCCAGGCACGTCGCTCCTGATTATTTCGAGTGGCTCGATGTGCAAGTGGCACTCGAAACCAGCACTGTGCAGAGTACCGATGTTCCTGCCAGTGTCGCTGCTTTAGCCGGGCTGGCGCTGGCGTCTCCAGCGCAAGCAGTAGCTAAAACCATTCCTGAACCGGTTCCAGTCGAACAAACTGTCGCTGCAGCTAGTGTTGGTGTTGTTTCTTCGCCTTCAGTGTCCGTGGGGTCAGCCGCAGTGGAATCTGGCACTGACAGCCAACCTGCCAAGAAGCCGAAAAGAACTTCAGGCAACTGTGCTGTTCCGCTCTGCAGTAATCGGTCTTTAGATTATGTCACTTGCATTTCATCGTTTTCCCAGTGATGCAGAAAGGTGCAAGTTATGGCAATTTGAAATTAGGAGGGACGTGGGATCAAATTTCAAGATCACATCAAACACCAGAGTATGCAGCTCTCATTTCAAACAAGATGATTACGTCGGCAAGCTCCTGTCTGGTGAGGAGCCAGAAAGAAAATGGCTCAACCCCACCGCTGTGCCAACCCAGTTCCAGTGGACAGCAACTCCTAAACCAGCGAGACGAGTTCTGAAGAGAAAACGTCAAGAGTCTGAGGAGCCACAAGATATTGATGATGCCGGGGTCGTTTCTGTGGTGTCTGGTGTCTGTTCGGCTATTGACCCAGCACCGACCCCTGGTCCTGTGCAGGGTTTGCCATGTGATCACAGATATATCAGTGTAAGTGACCCGAGTGAAGTTGATGATCACATGGCTGGCCTAGAAAAAAGACTTCAGTGAAATTAAAAAAGAGTACGAGAGCCTGAAGTGTCGTTCGATCGATTTAGCCAGCATCAGAAACAATCCTGACAAGTTCAGGCACTTCACCGGGCTGCCTAACTACGCAGTGTTCTCTGCCCTGTTCAAATACCTCAAACCCAAAGCCAAGAGGATGCAAACTTGGCGCGGCCTATCTACACTTAGCCATTTGTATGCCACTGGTCCTCAGCGATGGCCATTAGACGTTTCACCGACACTGGCTGACCATCATCATCACAGAATATGAATTTGTTCCAATAAACACTGCGCGAATGTGAAAAAGATTGTTACATATATTCCACCGCAAATACAAGTTCTATCAACCAACCAAGTATTCCACTTAGCTCATTCTGTGCATTCAGAAATGATTTGTTCCAGTAATAATCTAACATCAGTCCGAAGTTATTATTCAGAAATGTCTGGTAAGTCAATGTTTTACTATGATGACAGACCATTTTGATCTCTGCCAATTTCTGGTTTGAAAACATAAAAATGATGATTATTGATCCAGAAAGTCGTTAAAAAATCAGTGCAATCGATGACGAGTTTTCGGTTGTTTGTGAGGGGTTGAGAGGTGAGGTGGAATGAAATGTTGCTTTCGTTCACAGTGTACTGTGTTTATGTTGGACAAGATGATATAATTCACAAACGTCAACAGACATGACGAGGAAAGATCAGAAGAGAAGCCATGATCTAGAAAAACAGTCAGAAGCACAAGCGTGCATGCATACAACATGTCTGTTACGGAAGGTCCAGACAAACTCTGCATGCCATGGCTGCAAAAATCATCCTGCGCAAACAGCAAAGCCGCGACATGTGAACAGCACTCTCCTTATCCGGAAATGCACTGGCAGTATCCACCTTAGCACACTGGAGCGTCCCTGCTGATGCAGACGATACACGTGTAGGCTTGCTTTGATGTATCTTGTGATGGCCAGCATTTCGCACGGACGAAACAAAAGTGTGTTCCACCTGCAAACAGGTTTTCCTCCAAATGGTGAAGGTGGTGCTCATCAAATAATTGGTACGCACAAAGTTGCTTGTAGCACTGCAAGCTCTCCTTGTCATAATCTTTTTCCGGGGAATTTAACAGATAGTGCTTGACAGCCTCAGTAATGAAGAAAGGGATTTTAGTTAGGCGAGATAGAGACCAGCCAGATGTTATGTGTGAAAAGCTTGGTAGCTTCTTGTACGCTGCCATTACTGGCTTTGGTAATGCAGGCTTGTCTGCCTCCTGGAACCCCTTCGCCAGCAGTACTCAAGTGGAAATGTTCACAGATGAGAAGGTAAAGATCACGTCTGGATACACGCCCTTGGTAGGGAATACTGTTTTTGCAAAGTTGGTGCAGCCCTTGCATGCGTAAGCGCATGATATCCCCACAAGAGGTGGGAGCGCGCAGGACAGAGCTGGACAGAAGTGAATATGTGGCCCTTTCAGTAGCAGCATCAGCTGCTGTTTGCGCTGGCCCTGAGCAGCGGGTTTTACAGCAGGTTCAGGAGTGGTTTCAGCTACTAGGTATACTGCTTGCACTGGAGACGCCAGCGCCAGCCCGGCTGAAGCAGCGACACTGGCAGGAACATGGGCACTCTGCGCAGCACTGGTTTCGAGTGCCACTTGCACATCGAGCCCCTTGAAATAATCAGGAGCGACGTGCCTGGGCACTGAGATCGTAACCCTCTGCTCGCCTCCGCTGGAACAGAGCGACTTGATCCGCAGTCCAGGTTCTCTCACATTCTTTCTCCATTTCTCACGACTACTCTCGGCTGACCAACTCCAAATCGCTCTACAGTATCTCAAAGAATCAAACCCTCCAGCAACAAGGACAAAGCGAAACAAAATAATTTGTCAAGAAAGCACAGCAGGAAGACGTGTCGTGGGCTGCGATGACAGCACGAGCGCTCAGGCGTAGCCATCCAACGCCATTTTTGCACCATGGCAACACAACTTCGGCAATGAGTGTATAGCGGTTGTAAGTGCAGTAGTGGTTCATAGCCGTTGTAAGTGCAGTAGTGGTTCATAGCGGTTGTAAGTGCAGTAGTGGTTCATAGCGGTTGTAAGTGCAGTAGTGGTTCATAGCGGTTGTAAGTGCAGTAGTGGTTTGTATGCACGTATAAGCTAGTGTCCCATGGTCTCTTGGACACATGATTGATTTTCTTTGCTGTTCATGTTTGTGTATGCTTGTGTGTATCAGCTACATGAGAAGCTGGATGCAGCACGCCATGAACACTGGAAATCCAAGGTAACTTGTCACTGTCGTGCTCTGCTAGTTGCTAGCTCATACTTGAGTTTGTCTTGTGTGTATGTGTGTGTGTGTGTGTGTGTGTGTGTGTGTGTGTGTGTGTGTGTGTGTGTGTGTGTGTGTGTGTGTGTGTGTGTGTGTGTGTGTGTGTGTGTGTGTGTGTGTGTGTGTGTGTGTGTGTGTGTGTGTGTGTGTGTGTGTGTGTGTGTGTGTGTGTGTGTGTGTGTGTGTGTGTGTGTGTGTGTGTGTGTGTGTGTGTGTGTGTGTGTGTGTGTGTGTGTGTGTGTGTGTGTGTGTGTGTGTGTGTGTGTGTGTGTGTGTGTGTGTGTGTGTGTGTGTGTGTGTGTGTGTGTGTGTGTGTGTGTGTGTGTGTGTGTGTGTGTGTGTGTGTGTGTGTGTGTGTGTGTGTGTGTGTGTGTGTGTGTGTGTGTGTGTGTGTGTGTGTGTGTGTGTGTGTGTGTGTGTGTGTGTGTGTGTGTGTGTGTGTGTGTGTGTGTGTGTGTGTGTGTGTGTGTGTGTGTGTGTGTGCTGTGCTCAGTGATGCGTATTTTGTACTTACCCATGTCTCTTGCATGTGCATGTATGTGCATGGGGGGGGGGTAGTTGTTGTGTGCCGTGTGCAATAACAGTTATGAACCTGCCTTTGTCCACTGCACCCGTTCATTCCTATGCATTCCTATGCTGTTGCTGTCTCTAGGAATCAGACAGCAGGAATGCGCTAGATATGGTGTCCGACAAGACTCTGGGTCTTGAGAAGGAGGTCGACAAGCTGGTAGCAGAGGTGGATGAGGCAAACGAGAACATCAAGAAGCTCTTCCTGCTACTCTTTCAGGTAGGCGAGCAGTGTATCAGCATCCACTGCACGTTGTAGTACTGTGTAGTGATGGCTAGTGATGGCTGGTGATGGCTAGTGATGGCTGGTGATGGCTAGTGATGGCTGGTGATGGCTAGTGATGGCTGGTGATGGCTGGTGATGGCTAGTGATGGCTAGTGATGGCTAGTGATGGCTGGTGATGGCTAGTGATGGCTGGTGATGGCTAGTGATGGCTGGTGATGGCTAGTGATGGCTGGTGATGGCTAGTGATGGCTAGTGATGGCTGGTGATGGCTAGTGATGGCTAGTGATGGCTGGTGATGGCTGGTGATGGCTAGTGATGGCTAGTGATGGCTAGTGATGGCTGGTGATGGCTAGTGATGGCTAGTGATGGTCGGTGACTCAGGACCTGCCTGAGCTGGCTGCATTAATGCCTAATACTGCCTCATCCATGTAGAATGTCATTGCATCTTGCCGCAGCAGAAGCAGTAGGACAATTCTGCTACACAGCAGAGTGTCCACTTGTGCTTGTACAGGTAGACTCCCTTTAATTCGAACCTCAAATTGCCAGGCCCGAACTTCGAATTATCCGGAACTTCGAATTATCCAAATGCAGCCCCATGCACTGATATGTATGTCAAAATGCTTGAAATCGCATGCTGAATATTGTTTGCACATTTTTATTTGCATCAACGAAACATAGGTGGTCGTACCGGTACGCGGTCATGTACAACGGATTATCAAAACACAGGATCGACACAAAATCATTCTGACATTATCTTCATCTTCTAGTGAAGAAGTTGTCAGTCACTGCAGCTTTCCTGAAACAATTTCAACGGAAAAGAACTGCGCTGCCTAATCCGCGTCATGAAAGGCCGTTGGACAGCAGCACGTCGTTCTGAAGAACAGAAGTGGAGCAAAGGCATAGACAAAATTTACGACGTGTTGTGTGCCAACACCTCCGCGCACGAGCTGGCGCGGTAAGAAAGGCCATCGAGATCCGCGAAGAGAGTCAGCCACCTGGAAGAAGTCGTCTTCAATCAAACCTTTGCAATTTGCCTCGCACGGGCTTGAATCAAATTTCGAGAGAAGGTGGGTTTCTTGAACGCTATAGTCGATCCTGCAGCGGACCATCGATCGATTTTGAGCTACTCTTGGCTAGAGAAGGAGAAAAGAAAGAACTTCGAATTACAAGGTTAGCAACTCGATCTCACTTCGAAATAAGCGTTCAAAGGACATAGCCAATGTACTGTAAACAGCTCTTCTGTACGAAGACTGGGTTCGAATTATCCAACCGGCGCACTTTTCGTACTTCGAATTATGCATTCGATTTTGACTTGAAGTGACTTGCAGAAGATCGGTACGACGAAAAAGTTCGAATTACACGGAATGTTCGAATTATACCGTATTCGAATTAGAGGGAGTCTACCTGTAGTACAGGATCAGTTTTGTGAGCAGGAGTGTTCCATGTGTTTGTATCCATCACTCTGGCCCTACTATACACTGTACCTTACAAGCCAACAGCTGGCTTGCAACTTACTTGTACATCCACAGCACAGTGTTTTGAAGCGTCATCAGAGATGTGCCACAAGACATGACATCCTATACAATCATCTTTAGTTGGTGGCACTTGAAGAACCAGGATGTCTATAACTCTTTATCATTATTTTCTTTTTCGACCGGTGTGCACCGCTTTGCAGACTGCTGCTGCTGCTGTATGAAGCCGGTGTGGGTTGATGTTGCAGCTGTACACGCTGTCTTCTTTGTACTGTCCCACTACAGAATCATTGTCTTATTGTCTTATTGTTGCTGATTCTTGCCTGTATTGTTAATGATGGTGGTGGTGTCGTCACTACAGCGCTTTGTCATCATTATTCAGGAGCATTTGGAAGAGAACAAGGGCAAGAAGTCTCTGTGGCTGAGGTGTTCTCTGGAGCGCCTGCAGCAGATGCTGACCAGTGTAAGTGCTATTTCACTCATTGTGTAAGACTCCTGTGTGTGAATATAATGTGCTGCATGGCTCGTTCGTCTGCATTTCACCTTGTGCAAGACTTCTCTGTGTACATGGCTGTTGGTCTGCGCCACTCAGTAGCGTGCCCTCGCAGTGAGGCGCGCATGGTCTAGGCTTCCTTCCGGCCCATTGAGCTATGTACAGGGAATACCACTCTGTGCCCATTGAGCTATGTACAGGGAATACCACTCTGTATGTACAGGGAATACCACTCTGTGCGCTGAGCTATGTACAGTGAATACCACGCTGTGTGTACAGGGAATACCACGCTGTGCGCTGGTATGTACAGTGCTGGCCGGTGAAATACGACCACTCACTTTCCAGGGCCTTGCCGTCGAGCTGCATTGTTGAGGTGTGAACTAAGCTAGTTTGAACAGCCGCCAGCCAGGTGTTTGACTAGGATAAACGCAGAAAATGTACCCGTGGTCAGATTTTGCTGCCGCCAGTGAAAGCGTCATGTTAGTGTCATCAACGTCATTGCGTGCGTACCTGCAATAGTTTCATTCTGCAATGCAAACCTCAGAACGAAATCCATAAGCATGATCTGTTTCTTGATTCTGCTTGCTGTTGTGTTCACAGCATCGTGATCATGTTCAGAAGTACGTACGCTCGCTGGACAATCTGATCTTCACGGACGAAGTTGACCGCCGTATACTGGCTGTGTACAAGCGCTGCAAGGTCATCATAGCGTGCCGCTACTACCACCGTGTGGCCCCGCAGACGTGATGCGTTAGCTGCCACGCACCTGGGCCCCTCGCTTCCTTTCCCACCCATCTTGCCATCTTGCTGCCAACTGTTGTGTATAGAGTTATCTGCCATAGGTACACCTACGCTGCCACCGTTGCCGCCGTCGTCGTCTCGTCGTCGACTTTTGATATGATGTTTGACTAAACCGCCCTAGGTTCCGCCTCTCTGCTGCCTATTCCTCTGCTGCGTGCCGTAGTGCGTGATGAAGTTGGCCCTTCCTGCCTTGGCTTTTAAAAATCATGACAGCGGCCCGACGGCTGGTGCCGTGGCCAAGGTAGCCATGACACGTGCGTCGGAAAAAGGAAAAAAACTCCTCTTCTTGATGGCTTGTCTGGACAGTCTACAACCACGAATCACTGTCAGTCCCAATGAAAAATAGAACAATGTACCTCTGCTCCCATGTTAGTTGACCGCCAGGTAGCCAGGTCTTGTCTACCCAGAACAGCAGCAGCAGCAGCAGTAGTAGTAGTTTCACTATGTTTTGGCCATGGTACCGGTATGTGTGCAAGCTGGCTTCCACAGTATACGTGTATCTCTCACCACTGCAAGATGTCCACGTCTGTGTACCACCGTGTGTACCACAGGCTGTTACGTACTGTAGGCATGCTCAGTGCTGGCTGATGTACAATATGTGAAAACTGATATAAAGTACGACACTATTGTTTTGCCCGTGCAGCCGCGTGATTGAGTAATGGTTTGCCAGTTGGTGTGTTTGCTTGTTTCTTGCTCCACTCGCAGTACTCTGCTGTTAGCAGCTTTGCGGCCTTGTGATTGTTTGTCCGTTTATGACTTGCACTCTCCCCATACATCCTGGTGTTGATCGCCTTGATCCTTCCTCACTAGCAAGTTCTCTGCTGCGCTCTTGTATTTTGTTGTGTACCGTAATTTCCAGTAAATTAGTTTTGCCATGTTTGGACTATGCTGCTCTGCTGTCTAGATATTGCTGTCATCTACTTTGATCTCTTATGCTGGGCTTGCAAGCCTGCCTGATTTCAGAGAGAGCTGTGCAACCATTGACAGTTTTCAAGTAGCTCCACACATGCTTGAACCATTGGCAGTTTTCCAGGAGCTCGGCACAGGCTCTGAGCTTACGAGATTGCTTTACCAGACTGAGTGTGCAAGGGTGGCTTCAACAACGTTACTTCTGTCATATGGGTTGAAGCATGGTTGATGAAGCTATCTGCAATTTCCACCTGACCAGCAAGGACTGATCCGATTGCAGTGTGAAACAGATCACAGGGCTTTTAGCATAGGGTGTTTGGAGATGTTGTTGTCAACACCCCCTCCCTACACACACACACACACACACACACACACACACACACACACACACACACGCACACACACGCACATACACACACACACACACACAGAGTACAACAGACACAATGGTAGCATTGAAAGAGCAAAGAAACACAGACACTGTGCTTGGTCAGGTGGAAGCAAGCAGAATAATTTTCTGCACACAACCAACAGTTACAAGTAGGAGTCATTGGGTTGTGAAGACAGGCAGTACTATGTAGCAGGGCCGGAGGCAGCTTCCACGGAGCGGTGCGGCCGAAGGGCCATCTTTAATGGGGGTCCTCCCGCAGAAATTTTTGGAATTTAGACGGCAAATCCTGCAATCTGGGCGACTCCCTGTACAAAATCATACATCGAAACTTTTTGTCCCCGGTTTTGGACGTTCCACGTGGACTGACTTTTTGGGAAGTAACATTTGCAGATCCTGCCGGCAATTCTTTCGGCAAAATATCGAAGAATTGAAAGAGCGGAAATTGCCAGCAAAATCGGAGCAAAATATCGAGATGTTGGGCAAAATCGATGCCTGATACTTGGATTTCCGTGTTTCTTCCCCGTTCAGCAGGATACACTGCCAGGATGAGATCATGTCACCACTGGGATTCACTGTGGATCGACGTGATTTTGGAAAAACTCAGGGACACGTGCGTGGAAACCGGTGTTGAGAAAGCGACCCTGCGATTTTTATGTAACGTTGTACGGGATTGTACGGGAAGTGGATAAAATACACGTTTTTCCGGAGCAAAATGGAGCAAAATATCGAGATTCCTGTGCCAGGCTCGGCAAAATATCGAGGCGAGCGGAGCAGAATCTGTCTGGGCCTAGCGCCTGCCCTGTGTAGTCAGGATTCAGGAGTGCTACTGCTATGCATCAACCCAGGGCTAAACAGGAACCTGTGCGCTACAGTGGCAGGAGCTCTCAGTCTCGGTCCCCCAAACTACAGTAGGGTTTGGTTGTGCACAATTTTGAATGTTGCTACATGTAGTACACGTATATCACGCACCCATATAATAATTATTATGGTCACAACACGATGGAGACTGCGACATGCATCACAACTCTTGCTGCACATGCAACCCTGCTCCTCCCAGGTGCCACACAGGAGCAAGACGCACCTACATCGCGCCACCTGTCGGCAGCGTCCTCCACACAGCGTAGTATAGGTGCTGTACAGCACTCAATCTTGCTGTGATCCGAACAGCAGCGGCCAGTACCGGTATACTCAACACAGGAGAGGGCACACAGAGTCGAGTTGTAGAGTCAAGAAAATCTCAATTTCGCACATGAAAATAGAAGAATAGAAGGGGATATTATCAACCCGCAAACTAAGTGCTTGATAAAGAAACAGAATATATTGTTATAGAGTACTTCAAAGTCCAATCAGGAGAGAATCTTGCACTAGCAGAAGCTGCTCAATGCTCCACACCAAAGGTGACGCAAATAGGAAAGCTAGCTGCGGCGGTAAAAGTAGGCGACTTGAAGAGCGAGGAAAGATTCTCTCAAGTCGGAATGTCGGTCGGTCACAGTTCACAACGGGGTCGAAAAGGACGGATGAGGCCCGTGTGCAGACCGGGGAGTCGGCACACGGATCATAATAATAATAAAAATGGTCATAAACTATCTATCTAGCTATGTAGCTATGTAGCTAGAGGCGCAGGCGGCAGTACTAGCAGGCAGCAGCACTGTAGCAGGAGCCACGGTCATAAAGTCGTAAGTCAGCAAAGTCTTTGTAAGTTGTAGTCGGTTATTCGAATACCAATACATGTTGGCGGTGGTGGTGCATGTTCTCGGAGCATACTGGTGACATTGTGCCTGATCATGCGGCGCTCAGCAGGCAGTTAACAATGGTGCCCGTGCCGCAGTGCATACTGCTGACATCAGAGTGCCGGATACACTCAGTAGGCCAGTGCACCCGTCGGTGGACGCTGCTTGGTCAGTCTCCATCCCGAGAAGACACCGATCACCAAGAGCCCAACGGCAACGAGCAGTCCAATGATAGAGGACAAGTACCAGACGTCCGGATGGGATTTGTACACATACCAACTCACAATGACACCAACAGCAATTACTGCACCAGCCAAGGAGTTTATACCATCAGAATACAAGCTGGGGCTCATGACTCGCTTGGACAAGCTGATCTTGGCCACGGCAAGCGCTACGCACAGCGCAAGGCTGATAAACGACACTATCAGGATGCTATAGCTTTCACTCGGATCCAGACCCACAATTAGTCTATACATACACTTTGCACTGATCACCAAGAAGGCAACGACGAACAGCAAGGCGATCCTCAGGGATGCGACCCGTTCCAACTCCAGCTCATAAGAATTGGACGTTGCTTTGCTGTTGGGCCAAAAGCGCCACAGCACGAACGCAGTTGACAGGAAGTCCAAAACACATGTGGCACCAAAGCCAAACAGTGCATCATTACCTGCACCAGAGGCTAGGATAAACGTTGCAATGGCCAGCCCAAGAGTTACTAACAGCGACACGATGCAGAGTGCAATGGCGTAGGGCCTCCATAACTCGACATGGGGCCGCAGTGTTACTGCACCGTTCACATCATAGTTTTCATCGGCCACAGAGAAGCACTCGTAATTCTGCTTTTTCGGATCCTGACCACCAAACGGCTGAGCAAGCTTCTGCTTGGCCGAGTCAGCGACAGTCATGCTGGAAGACACAGCGCTGGCAAAGAGATTTCAACTAAACTAAAGCCAAGGTATATCATTCGGGTCTGGTGTACATGCAGGCGCCAGCCGAGGAAGTAACAGTTAAAGTTGAATTCAGCTCGCTTTCTCCAGCTTTAGTAAGTAAGAAAAGTTAGTTGAAGAGGAGAAGAAGTCGAAACAACTGGTGACTCGGGCTTGTCAAAACCAAAATAGTCCCCATGCATACGACATGCACAAGTCGTAGATCTATGCACTGTCAGTCAGTTCTCGACTGCTTGGTACATGTACTACATAATTCTTGCCCACACGGACACACTGCATGCTGCTCCATGCTGCTCCATGCTGCTATGTCACGTGAGCAACAGAGCAGTATGAGATCATTGTTCACATCAGCATCTGTGCGCTATAGGCTAGCAGCAGGGTGCATGCCATGCCCTGCACATACCGGTATGCAATATGGGGTACAACCAAGAGTATACTCTTGCCGTCTTGGTACATGTACTACCGGCAAAGACTCCTTCAATTCAGTCTTGCTTCAATTCAGTCTTCACAGTCTTCTCCACAATACAAAGTCATGTAGTGATGTACATGACTGTCTAGTCTGTTGTTCCTCTGTAACGGGTGTTAGTACTGTTACTCCTTTGTATGTCTAGACTATAGCTGTGTTGTGTGGAAGCCAGCAAACTCATGCCTTTTCATTGCGATTATTATAATGCGAATGATTCTGTTTGTGGACGTGTGACTGCACTGTCTGCACTCTGCAGTATGATAATATGATTAGTTTTGTGCCAGCCATGACAAGAAGCTTGCTAGCTATTGCTGTGGCAGCATTGGCTACTACACGTGGGTGAAGTCAGCAAGCAAGGTCAAGATGATGATGATGGCATGAGCTCTGCTTCTTACCCCAATCTGAGTGAGGATCTGAGTGGGGGGCAAGGAACTGGCCGGGCTGTAATCATCTTTACAAAGGCTGTGAGCTCAGCAGCCACTTTTAAAGGTCATCGTTTTGAAAGAAGCATTGATGTGACAATGACTCTGAAGTCTGATGATGACATGAGCTGCATGAGAAGAAGAGTACACAGACTCCCTGGTCACCATGGCTACAAGACAGTTACTAGCAAGAGTACATGATTTTCATGTACTCTTGTTACTAGACAAAAGCACGGATAAGGAGCCGGATCGCGGAGTGCAGTTCGACGAGGTACAAAAAAAATAAGAATTGGTTAACCCTATAGCTGGAAAGCACTATTTTGAAGGAAAGAAAGATGGTAATAAGAATAACTGATGTGTTTCATGAGGATACAGCAGTCCAGCTTGGTGCTTCATATGCAGCAGACATGATGAAGAAGAAGTTGGGGAAGAAGATGGAGGCACTGATCAAAATAAGATTTCATTGGGTCAGAAAGGTCTGCTGAATGTACGTTTGCGCGCGCGCGCGCGCGCGCGCGAGCGAGAGAGAGAGAGAGAGAGAGAGAGAGAGAGAGAGAGAGAGAGAGAGAGAGAGAGAGAGAGGGAGAGGGAGAGAGAGAGAGAGAGAGAGAGAGAGAGAGAGAGAGAGAGAGAGAGAGAGAGAGAGAGAGAGAGAGAGAGCAAACATCGTGACAATAAAAGATGCTTTTTTGTAAATAAAAATAAAATCTGGTCGAGGCGCTAGCGCCGCATGAGCTTGTGGTTGTGATTGCGTGGATAAAAAAAAAACACATAAAATTAGCTAACTACACAGCTAGCACAGGATCTACGCTACTGTCACTAGCACTAGCACTGTACTGGACTACAAAGACTAATAAAAATATGTTTTTATGCCGTGCCCAATATTCCCATGCCATGCACGTAGGTGAGCAGCGCCTGTTGGCATGGAGGTGTACATGCATGTATGTTGTGTGTGTTCATGTGTGAAGTAAGTATACCCAGTTTGTAGCATGCATACAAGTGAGCTGTAGTATCATCATGTGAATAATAAAGTCAATATTTTGTAAAAAAAATCAGGCAGTGCCAAGGTCTCAACTTCAAACAAATAATAAAGGTCATGGAAACCACAAAGGGAAAGTTGGAAAGACAAGGGTTATGTTCATAAAATTGTCTCCATGTAATGGTGTGCCACATACAGCAATGGAACACAAACCTGTGTGAGTCTAGTCAAGGCCAAATCCGGCTTCCAAATACTAGTAGTCATCACATCCAGCGTAGCATAGCGTAGTGATGACGCCCGGTGGCTCGGCAGCCCTGGTCTGAATTCATGCACGTGTGCGGTTGGCAAGGTGGTCACTTTGCTAGAGCCTCTCCATGCCTGAAGATCATTGTCGGCAAGTTGGGACGAGACACATTCCATGCCTGACCGTTGACAGCAAGTTTGGACGAGACACATTCCACGCCTGACTGTTGACGGCAAGTTTGGACGAGACACTCTCCATGCCTGATGATCACTGTGGGCAAGTTTGGCCGAGGCACGGTGATCATGCCGAGTGATGCTGCGGCGATGCGTTCGCCGATGCCGGGTTTGCAATTTTGTACGTGATCAAGTACTCCGGATAGGCCTGGGTGTGAGAGAAGCACAGCGAGAACGGAGTGGACATTGCGTCAATGAACAGTTCACTACAAGTTAATGGCACGCTACAACGACACAGGTCATTGCAAAGGGGAAAAAAGAAAGAAAGCCTGGCTCATCAAAACAGTAGTACATTCGCAACACACACAGAGCTTGCAAAACAGAGGTCCGTTCAATGATCAAAAACCACCAGACTCTGAATTACACATCCCAAACTAACAAGCATGTTGAATCACAATGCCATTTTAATCATACTTCGAGAAGTAGCATTGTCGGTCCCCAGTGGCCAAGTCAGCAACGACAGCAAGGCAACTAAACACACCTATTGTGCACAGAACACTACAACATGTACTGTACAAGTGCCAAAAGATGGCCCAAATCCTCCTAACGATCACGCACCTGTTCACCACGGTAGATGACATACTCGGCGAAAGCCAGGCCACCGGAGCTAGGCTGTCCTATGACGGAGTGGTGTCCGGGTGGTGCGTGGGCCATTTTGATAGCCGAACGTTGCAAGTACGCATTGCCCAGAGTCACACGGCACAACACCATTTGTCTGCAAGTGGACCAAACACAGCAGCAGCAGCAATATAAGCATCCATATTGAAAACTAGGAACCGTGACTGGCTGACTTCCAAAACGGAGTCATATGGATGGCAAATTAGCAGCAATATCTACACATACAATGTACACGTAAGAAAGTACACAAACTACGCAGTGTAACTAATTTACACTAGGACACAAGAATAGTACTCACCGAGAGCAAACATAGCAGGAGCGATCTTTGTGTTTCGTGCACCCTGATCCACCGCCGATGCCATAAACGTACTGATTACTTTTGGAGGAATTCTGTGCAAAGTATATGCCTGCGTCAAACAAGAGGTTGAACAAAGAGCACATTGGTTAGTGAGAATAGCAAGCAGTTGCAGGCCAGCAAGTCAATCCCAGAGGTAAACAATGGGTAGCACCCAGCTCCAATAACACTGAAGAAAGCGCGGGGTGGGGTGTAGGCGTTAAACAGGCCCCCCCCCCCACATTTCTCTGATGTCAACCATTCAGAGCAACTCCCCTGCATCATACAAGCAACATCGGGCAGAGTGAGCCTAAACCCAGCACATACACACACACACACGCACACACACATGCACACACACACACACACATGTGCGGAGGAGGCTTCAGTGTGACTAGTGCCCCTAGAAACAAACACGTAAATAGGCAACGCTTGCATACTCGCAGAGTGCAAGTCATCATTGATAGAAAATTTAGATAGATGATACTCAGTAGATAGTGCTGAAACGATTATATCGATTAATTACTCGATAAGAAATAATATCGAGCGGTTATTTCGATTTTATCGGCTTAACGAGTGGAATGGTACTTACGCTCGGTACGGGATTTCCCCCTTTTGGGGGTCGCACAATGCGTGCATGCACCGAAAGTGTTGCGAGTACGACACAAATATGTACATGAATGTACACTTGCAACATCGATGAACGTGTAAAAGTGCAAGCGCGATCGCCGATCTGAGAAACATCTGAGCCACAAAACGTAATCGTTTCAGCACTATCAGTAGATGATGTTTCACAGTTGTAACGTACCTGCACCGAACATGCCTCCAATGTACGCATGGCGCTCGTCAAAGCCATTCTGAAGGATGTTGCCAATGAAAGGTGAACCTGCATAACAGTAACAGCAACCAGAGCACAGGAGCAAGAACGAGTCAAACACACCGCCAGTGTAACTGTTCCAATTCTTATGCAGTACAAGTAGGCGCTAGCCTACAAATCCGCGAGCAGCACGGCCATGACTAAACATATCAGATACAGTAAGTCAGTTGTACGGAGATTGCAAGCGCGTGTGCGTATCGCAGGCCATTCCAGCAAAGACTTTCCAAACTGATAACGGGTACCAGTGTCAGCGTAATGGTTACGATCATAAGCAAATTTAACTCTAGAATGTGAACAGTGTGAGGCATACCATGGAACAGCATTCGCTCGTTGTAATGGCCATGGTTCTCATCGGCAACCTGAACACGTCAACAGAAGCAGAGAAGAACAGGAGCATGGTCAGCGTGCTTCTATGGCAAGTTTAACTATCACAATTGACAGGCTTTACTGCACTGGGGTACTAGCACTGTGTAGTCTCAAAGCCATCACCCAGCTGCATCCACGCATGCTGTGAATTCACACCGAATGGCTATACTTCTTTGTTAGCATGGCTTCATACCTGGACACATAGGTTCGTTTTTTTGTGACTTCCCAGCGGCCTACATCGAGTCCAAATATGAATGAAAGAATTGTCACATATTTGGCACCCTTGTATATTATTCAGCATTTATAATACGTACAGATAGGTGGCCAGGTATCCCAAGGGGTACATTCTAAGAGTAAAGCTGTCAATACTTCAGCAAATAATCTAGGGCTGAGAACCAAAACGCTGTCAATGCATTCCACCAGGTAGAGGGCTGCAGGTTACCAAAGGCACACCATACACACACCATACTATGGACAAGCACAGGCGTCTCTTACCTCCTGCCGACGGTAGATGTAGCGCTCCCAAAGACGTTTGTTATACACTCGCTGTACCTGTGCAGCACATTCAAGACATGAAAAAGAACACAGATGGAAAACTAGTCAGAACACCATTCCGGTCCACTGCTGACATGACCAAGCACACATAACTGTTATCCACGCCAGCAGTACTCAAACTTGATGCATACTCTACGCCATCTTCTTCCGCAGGCACACAGTACCTTGACAATGTCGTAGGATGAAAAGAGTCCTCCGACGGCCTGGTCGCGGTGCTCACGTATCGTAGTCTGCATCTGAGCGTTCCACAGGACACACCACACAGAGCAGAGCACATAGCAATGAATGGTCATGGCCAAACAGACAACATATCATTATCTGCCATAGGGTGGGCAGATGCAGAGTGCAGCAACTGCACATTACCAGAGCTATCTATGAGTACGGCTATGTACTACATCCTCAAACGGTCAAAAGAATCGTGAAATCCGCTTGTTCTAAATTAAACCGAAAACTGTTGTTGTTGTTGTTGTTACTGTGCAAACACAAAGAGTTCGTTGCTCACCTCTTACTGTGCAAACACAAAGAGTAGGTTGCTCACCTCTTCCACAACTGACACGTAGTCCTTGTCCTGGCGACTCAGGTCCATGAGCTGTGTGCCGGATGTGTGTGCTGCGGATGCGGACGCCGCACTACCCACCCCCACACTGGGCTGCATACCAGCCACATTGCTGCCAACACCAGCCTGTAGAAGTCAGCAATAGTGCAAACAACAAGTGGATACTTGCTCAATAACCAGGGTTGGAGCAATGTACGACTCATATAGTACACACCACACAGCATAGATGTTACACTACATAACGTTATACATGACGTGTATAGTCTAGCAACAACTTTACTGCGGTAGTGGATCAAGCTGTACAAGGGCGGTGCGAAAACGTTTAGCGATGCTATCTCTTGGTCTGGCAAAGCCTATATATAGGCTTTGGAGCTGATGCGCGTAGATTGCCTGTTCCCTGTTACCACGGAAACAACTGCACAAGGCCAAAATGGCGTCCAAGCGATTCCAGGCGATATCAGGCAGTGTTGGCAAAAAAAATTTTGAAGAAGGAAGTTGTAGTTTTGTCAGGTTGAGGTATTCAGTTGGCGGATATTGTGTAAATTGTTCGAGCCTATTTATAGGCTTTGGTTTGAGGATGGAGGTTGGGGCTGCTGAAGCCACTGGGAGCAGTAGTGATGTAGAGTTTGCGCCTGGTGTTGAAGCAGAGAGCGATGATGAACTGCCGGCGAGTCCACTAGAATCTGTTCCACCTCCTCCAGCAACTAACAACGATGCTACTGGAGCAAGCCGAACAGATAATACTAGTAGACGGGAACATGCAATTGACATTGGATGGAGTGAAACGATGCCATCGAACGACTTGCCTGAGTTCACAGGTACCCCAGGCCTGCGAGTGGAGCTGTCTCCTGAGCAAGTCAGTTCACCGTTGAACCTATTCTTGTTGTACATCACGGACGAAATGCTGACGGTAGCGTGTGCTCAAACAAATTTGTATTTTTACCAACGAGCTGCTGATGTATGCCTTGAGGGGGCTGCTCATGCCAGAGAGTGGTCAAATATCACCCCTGCAGAGCTGAGAGTGTGGCTGGGAATCCTTTTTACCAACTCCTTGCATCCATACCCCAGCATGCCTCTCTATTGGTCCTCTAAGAAGTTGTTTGGCCTTGATGCCGTTAAGAGTGCCATGAGCCTCCGTCGTTTTGAGCAGATTAAGCGATATCTTCACCTGGCAAACACAGCTGCCGAGCCAAAAAGAGGCACACCGCATTTTGACCCCCTGTACAAGGTTCGCCCTTGGCTGGATGGACTGCTGAAGCATTCCCAGGAGCTTTTCTCCCCCAGTAAACAGGTTAGCATGGACGAGATGGATGTGTCCTTCAGTGGGAGATGCGCATACAAATCGCGAATTAAATACAAACGAGCCGGCGATGGATTTTTAATCTACGCACTATGCGATGCTGACACTGGCTACACCTGGTCTTTTCGGTTTACCTTTGACCAACCAGGTGCTGTGGAGGTTGGCCTGAGCAAGACCTTCAATGCCGTGTTCCAGCTGATGAAGCAGCTACCCGGCAAGGGGTTTCACGTTTTTGTCGACAACCTGTACTCCAGTGCTCTCCTTGCTGAGAAACTTCTTGCTTTCGGCCACCTGTACACGTGCACAGCTCGTGCTGATCGCATACCAAACTGTGTCAAGCAAAAGGCGCTAACAGGTCAAGCTGCACGACAGGCTCACGGCACTGTTAAATGGGCATCTAGGCGAAATGTGGTGGCACTTACCTACTATGATGCAAAGCCTGTACCGATGATGACCACTGCTCACCATGACCTCGAGGTGGTCACCTTCACCCGACCTCGTTGTCAGGTAAACCCGGAGACTCATCTTCCGCACACAGTGGATGTGGAGCTGACACGACTCAACGTCATTCATGATTACAACTGCTTCATGGATGGCGTCGATGTCGCTGATCAGCTCCGTGGCTATTACAGTTGCAGTCTCAAATGTATGAAATGGTGGCATGCTATTTTTTACTGGATCGTGGATACTGCTGCCACCAATGCCTACCTCTTACACAAAGAAGGCATGAAGGCACAGGCAGCATCTCCCATGACCCATCTCGAGTTCATGGCCGACCTTGCAGAATCGCTTCTCAGCACACCGCATGGAAAGGAAAGAAGCAGCAGCAGCAGCAGCAGCGGGGCAAAGCGGCGCCGGTCAGCGGACGCCGCCATGGACAAGCCAGAGAGTCGCCTTATTGGTTCTCACATGATCCGGGCAATTCAAGGGAGCAGTGCAAAGAACCCCCAGCGTGATTGCGTGAGGTGCAAAGCCAATGGCAAGCGCTCGCGCACCAATTACGAGTGTGGCACATGTAATGTCGGCCTTCACTCTGATTGCTTTGAGGAATGGCACAAGTGATGAGGTTTGCTGCTCAGCTATCCAGCAGTGAAGCATTTGTACATATTATACCTGTAAATAACAGCTGTACATAACATTTTTATCATAAAAAAAACTCTTAAAATACCAACAAAAACCAAAGCCTATATATAGGCTTTGAGCTGCCAGACCAAGAGATTGGTCTACTGTGGCTATGCTCCTTTGCTCTCACCAAGACCTCTGAGTTTGAACAGCACATGTACCAACAAAATGTGCCTACATTCGTTTACCACCAGAACGGCGCAAAAAAAGCACAGCACACTGCATTCCTGCAAAGTACATGTACTGTGTTTCATGTCAAGTAGAACCTGACACTAGGACGGTCAATACTGGAACATCAGCTCCTACAAGACTGCACGAATGCATGTTGATATAATAATTATAACGTTACCTGGGCACTTCGCACACCAATGCTGGCGGTGGTAGACGCATCAGCAGTTGCTTGACCCTGGGATGAGGGTGCGGCTGAAGCAGCACGAGAATCGGTGGCAGCCGCATTTACAGGACCTACACGCAACAAGCAGTACACAATGGGGAAAGGGAAATATCAGCAAGGCAGTCACAATGATTCCTTCAGAGGCTTGAACTAAGGGCATAGTGATGAGAGCTATACACCAGTGGCAATACTACCAGCAGTAGCACCAGCAGCAATACAGCAGTAGCGACATGGCATTGGTACTAAGTTCGAAGGTAAGAACAGCCAAAGAAGAGCTCTTTCTTTTCCAAAGTCGTGCCAGCATTCATACACTGTACGTGATCATGGATACACGATGTAGTGGGACAGAACTATAAGTACAGGGACAGCCATGTTGGACAACTTTCCACCAAGTTCAAGCTTGGCTGATAGCGCAGCACGTATCACTCACTTGAACATGCGGCCGCTGTACCAGTTGCACCACTGGCATAGTCCTTCATGGCTCGCACAATCTTGTGTCGATTGCCATAGGCAGCAATACCAATCTCTTTCAGCTCCTCATGGCCCATGTCTACCAGCACGTCCATAGTGATCTGTGCACACAGACACACACACACACACAGACACACAAGAAGGCAAAGTTGCAAGTCTGTGATGAGACTTCAAATAAAAGTACAACAACGACAACAACATCTGTTAGCCTATGCATATCGGGAACAATGGTAAAAGTGTACCAGGTCAACCCCCCCCCCCCCCCCCACACACACACACATGCGCACGTACACGCACACAAACGTGCGCACGTACACACACACAAACGTGCGCACGTACACACACACACAAACGTGCCCACGTACACACACACAAACGTGCCCACGTACACACACACAAACGTGCCCACGTACACACACACACACACACACACACAAATACACTTATCCTGTGTACATACCGCTTCCCGCTGGAGGATGGGCAACAAGTGACTTAGATGCAGGTCAGACAGGAATTTAGCGACATCACCATTTGTACCGGCAGCATCACCGGCTGCAGTACTGATGTCACCTTCAGAGTGGTCACTTCGGGTAGGACCAGCTACTCTACCAGGTACTCCTGGAAACATGGGCAACACCACGCAGGACAAGAAGCACAAATCAGCATGGTAGTAATCATCCCATTGATGTTTGAACTTGCAAATGTACACACACCCACACTGGCAACTTTGACGCCCATCGCCGGAGGCAATGATGGCGATCCTACAGCAGAAGCCATAGCAACGTGTGCTGGGATTCCATCATTCAACAGCTTGCAAGGCTGAAAAATTGACCACCTCTATTCAGCCTAGTCTACACCGACCAGCTATTTGACATTTTTTCTGGCATCCACATACATACCCCTACACAGAGTGATGCAGAACAATGTCAGCAAAACAAAGCCCTAAACGCAATTATTTGCAATGTCTACTGTCCCGTTGTGATACCCAGTTCACATGGCATTCATGATGCAGAGTATACAAAATGCACAGAATACCATGCAGACAAACAAGCTCACCGTCTGCATATTCCTGTCCTTCCAGCTCTTCACGCTTGATTTGGTCAACAGATGAGGATCTGGAAAGGTCCATAGCTGTAGCGGCACCCAGCGTGTTCCCTGATGCCGTCGCAGCTGCAGACACGCCTGTTGATGCTGTTGTCTGCACCAATGGTGCAGAAACGGCTGTTGTGGATATGACAGAGGTTGGTATTGCCGCCGTCACCACAGAGCTGGCAGCCGTACTGGCAGTAGCAGCCGCAGCACCAGCTGGCGAACGCCCCAGAGCGGCAGCAGCTGGCCCCGGCGAGCCGAGCAGTGCGGTGACGAACGGTGACATGCCAATGTCGCGACCTATCTGCGTCTGCAACTGCATGCTACACGTGCCAGCACTGGGACCGCCGGTGGTAGGGACACCGCTAGTGGCTACGCTAGTGGCAGGTTGTGTGGCAGCTCCGCCATCAACAGCGCCGGTACTGGAAGCATCCACAGGTGTGTGCACATTCAACTGTTGCATGGCAGCGGATATCAACACCCGAACGTCATCTTGCTGCACACCATCAAACACAGCAAGAGAGAAAGTACAGTGGAACAGATTATGAAAATAACACAGTGGATGGAAATGCAGAGTCTGAATATTCGACATCTTTGCCACATTTTCAGAAAGATGTAAGATATTGTGTCGAAAAGCTCCATGGATACACTGAGAATCACACAACCAGAAAAATAGACATTCTCTTTAACTACTAGTAGGTGATAGAGAATTACAGTCAGACCTCGCTTATCCGGTCCTCGTTTATCCGGATCCCTCGCCATCCGCACGAAAATCGCTGGTTACCGATGTGCAGCATATGTTATGCATACAACATAACCGGACCTCGCGATCCGCATACCGGTGCATGATTTTGCTTCGTTGTATCCGGTTGCATGTGGCTTGCAGAAGCTAGTATCAGGGAGTTGTACAAGCAAATGAGGTCCTTGACCTGCTGGATGCATGCGGATAGCACTCAGTTGCATGCACTTGTCATATTTCTCGCTTGTTTTACATACTGGGCACGCTAGTCGTACTGCATAGGACCTGTCTACAAGTATGTACGATGCAACTGCTTTTGACATGCCACATGCATATAAAGTATGTGTGTTCAGTTATCCGGTTCCCTCGCCTATCCGGATATTTTTGTGGAAAACAGATGTGTGCGGTTAAGCGAGGTCTGACTGTACTACTATAACGAGCATCTCATACATGCACTCAGAAAAGAGAACACGCACACGAGTAAATGCAAGTGGAATGTTTAGCTGAGAAACGCTGACCGTCACAAAGACTGCCACCACACGTGCTTACCGTGGACACATCGAACGGTGACTGGCCCTCCTGGTTGCGCAGATGTACATCAGCACCGTGCAAGATCTATGCAGAGAACAATCATAGCGTCGCCGAGCATTGGGTGAAAACAATACAGTGATATAATAGAACAGGTTTGTTTTTGACTATGTGTATAGCGGTCTGCTCAAAGGACTGACTATGAATTGCTGAGTGTGCGACTCTGTATGGGATCAATGTGCAATAATCAGTACCCTGCCAAGTTCTACATGGGATGAAAAAAACTCTAAAAAACGGACCATGCATAGTGACTTGTGCAGCCCAGCTGCAAATGTCATTCGACACAGGGATATCAGGACCGTGTGATTTGCTTCCAGGGGAGTGATAGAGAGATGGACTTGCTAGTGGGTCTAAAAGTGAACGAACCAAGTGAGAACACCTGCTATTATTACACTTGGTACAGTGCTGCTCAAATCCGATCGAGTGAGTCAAGTTTGCACCCTGCCCCAGTGAACATCCCAGTGTTCGCAGGTTTAGGGATGCACAAGTGCCCGGTGCGTGGCGTACTTAACTCGTGCGATAGGATTTCATCGAGCAGCAGCAGCACTGCACATGTGTGCGCAACTCACCAGCAATGCGCAGAGCTGCGTGCGTCCCTTCTGCGCAGCCTCATGAAGTGGCGTGAATCCCCATCGGTCCACAGCATTCACAATGGAACCGTGATTGATGAGAAGAGCGGCAATCTCAGCATGCTGTACCAACACATACACACCAGAAACAGCATCACCAATGGGCGGGTGCTCAGAAAGCCAGTATTTTTTTATATCAAAACTCAAAAGCATGTACCTGTGGCGACGGTCAATTTTCAGGCGTTTTTTCCAATTCATTCCCTCTATTAAACTGAAAGGGAAAAAAACTTCAGAAAAAGACTGACTGTCACCACCAAGATTCAAACAAGGGACCGTCGCCTGTGATGCTCTCCTACCAAGCCATGACGTAGTTAGTAGAAAGCAAATACAGAGTACCTAACAAAGATAACCGCAGCCAGAACTTCCAAGAAGGTAAGCCAAGCTGAGAAAAAGCAGCCGTTGTGACCGCAGCCAGAACTTACACCATACGAGGAGGCATTGTGAAGAGGAATCAAGCCACCCTTGTCCTTGGCATTGGCATCTGCCCCATTGGTCAGCAGCAGATCAGCAACCTCAATTTGATTGTAACCAGCTTGAGGCACAGGGAAAATAGCACCATCACAACCAAGCAATTAGTATCAGTGCAATCAGTACAAGTCCATGCACAACATGTCACGATGATGTTACACATGTGTACAGGTACAGCTAACAACAATACTAACGCTGGAGATGGACAGCCCTATCCCCCCCCTGCTAAACTGCCCCGCACACACTCTCTCACCGAATGAGGGCTTTGCCATGTAATTGTGTCCATTATTCTAAACGTGAATGACAGATACAGTAGATATCGGTTATAACGTGCCCTTCTGATTTTTCACATTTTATCACTATAACCGGTATATCACTACAGGCGATTTTCAACTGCGCGCGTCATACATACACGTTATACACGTGTGGGTACTCGATCGCGCTAATGTAGCGTACTGATACGTGATGGATGCTACTGCACCTTCTCCAGTCTAGAGTGAAGAACTTCTTGGCCCAAAGGCATCATCCAGGAAGCACCAGACCAGAATACCCTATGAAAACACGCATGTGGCTCCAAATCGAGACATCAATGCCTCACACTCGTGTGTTGCTATCACTATAGACGATAATTTTTCTGCACAAATAGGTGTTTTGAATGGTCATTCTGTATCCTTATAGCCGATTTATCGCTATATACGATATATTGGTTATAATGATAATTTGACTGGCTTTTTCTTGTTTTGCTTTTGATATTTTCATTTTGTATCAATATAGCCGGTTTATCACTATGTCCGATGACTTTATAACCGATATCCACTGTACAGGGTAAGGGGTGAATGATAGAGACATACACTTACCGGCGAGATGCAGCGGTGTGGAGTTGCGACCGGATGAGTCACGGCAGTTGACGTTGTCCTTGGTCAAGACGCAGGCCAGCTACAGTAGCAAATAACACAGAACAGCAGCCACAGTTCATCAGCAAAACCTAGTAGCATGCAGGAGTGATGACCAATCCCAGCCATGTGCAGGCACTCTCTACAGATACGCCGCCAGTGTTTGCCCACATTCTACGCATTTTATCGAGGTGGCCCAGATTTTACAGAAATGCGCCTGAACGCTCGCACACACACACACACACACACACACACGCGCGCGTATACACATGTACACGCACACATTTTTATGGAAAGCATAGCCTCACACTAAGGGAACATGGAGACAAATGCAAACTCGTAGAAATGCATCAAGAACTCACTCGTCCCACTTCTCCCTTTCTTGACAGCTCAAGGATAGCACCATCTCCACGCAACAAGTCCTTGATATCCACGTCAGTCTCCTTGACAAGGTCCAGCGGTGTTTGGTTGTCGCGATTCTTCTTACCTGCATCAGCACCGTTCTGAGTGGAGCAGAACAAACCATTGCAAGAAGGCAGTGTAACTGTGTTATACTCTACAACGGTGAGCTGGCGATGTGTGCGCGCGTGTGTGTGTGTGTGTGTGTGTGTGTGTGTGTGTGTGTGTGTGTGTGTGTGTGTGAGTGTGTGATCTACTAGCGTTCGCTCATGATGCGTGCTTGAGTACAGTGGGAGACGCATACGGTCATGCATACAGTCATTGTACCTCAAACGTGAACACTTTCATCCATTCACTGCTACTGGACAAAGTGAACACAATCGTAAATAATGACGTTCATGGCAAACACACACACACACACACACACACACACACACGTTTCCAAACATTGAGCCTTGGACGCACAGTAGGAAACATCATGTGCTTCGTAGAACACGCCGCGAAACAACAAACACGCCCTACCTGAATGAGCAGCCGACAGATGTCAAACTTTCCCTTGGCGGCAGCTTCGTGCAGCGGTGTGAACTTCCACAGGTCAGGCATGTTCACGTTGGCACCATGCTGTATACACAGCCAGGTGATCAAAGGCAATGATGGCGGCGATGATGACGACGACGACATGCACACAAGAAAAGCAAATGAAAAATAAATCATCAATTGTCCAATCACCATTATTTTTGCCTATGCTGTGCATCCAGTCAAAAGCCAGTCTGAGCGTATATGATGCCCCTCAAAACAAACCGACTCAGAAACCCTATGATTATAGGAACTGAGTTAATAATGTATGAATGCTGGAGTCGAATTTGCATGTGATCTCCACTACAAGGCAGCGTACAGAATATATGAACATGCTAACACTATCAGTCAGCAGCAGCACACGAGTATCATGATAACTGCAACTTAGAGACATAAAAAAAACCCAGCTAAACAGTGGGGCCCTGCACTGACCTTGACAAGTAACTCTGCCACTTCGTAGTGCCCATAGGAGCATGCATTGTGTAGGGGAACAAGACCACTGGAGAACAAATAACATGAAGAAAAGTACACATTAATTCCCGTAGCTATGCAGAAGACGTTACTTCAGTAACGTCTGGCGCTAGCCAGGGTCCACACAGCTTTAATTTGGTGTTTGTTTGTGTCACGCCTGGCGCTATCCCGTATCTGTCCCGTACCGTATCATCAAACACAGCTAGCTGGCCACATGCAGCTGGCCGCAATATTCAAATAGGGCTTTCAAACGCAAGATCATAATGTGAAGCAACTTGGAAGAATGAGTATGAATGCGAAGTGTATGAGGGAATGCATGTAGGGCGATAGTGCGGGTTCGAATCCCAGGTTATGCCTGAAAAAAAAGGAGAATTGAAAAATTTATAACATCCCTATGCTTTTTTTGCCTATGTCATCAATGCGGTAGACGGTGTCGTATTACCTCGACCGTACCTGTCCCGTACCGGACCATCAAAGACGGCTGGCCACAATGCATATTCAAATAGGGCTTTCAAATGAAAGATCATAACGTGAAGCAACTTGGAAGAATTAGTATGTATGTATGCGAAGTGTATCGGGGGATGCATGCAGGGCGATAGTGCGGGTTCGAATCCCAGGTTATGTCTAAAAAAAATGAGAAATTTATAAGAATTTATAACATCCCTATGCTTTTTTTGGTCTAGGTCATCAAGGCAAAAAAGCATAGCGTAGGGCCCTGAGCTTCCAAGCTCTCTCGTACATCCAAAATACAAGCGAAACAGGCATAAGCAAAAAACACTACCGATTTCCCCGTTTGTAAGTTGCACCCGATTGTAAGTCGCATCCCCCTTTCCAGGTCCATGCCATATCATTTCTATATATTCACTTCAGTATTCATGCTCAATTGTAAGTCATACTCCCTTTGTTGGCCCTGAAGTTAGGTGTAAAAAGGAGCGACTTATATTCAGGGAAATGCAGTCTATACAGCGATATGGTCTCAGTGTGCCAGCACACTAAATCCATCATCAGCAATCAGAGCATGTTACAATATTAAGTTGCACTGGATGCACGGAAACTAGACCGTGACAGAGCAATACCATGCAGTGTAACAAGGCATGCTGGCATAGCAAAGCTGGGACTGGACCACGCACGCACACCTGCGCGTGCGCGGCGCGCACACACGCGCGTGCACACACACGCTCCAAAGACCAGTAGGAGCCAGTGGCAATGATGATGACAGCACCACACCTACCCTTTGTCCTTAGCATGCACGTTGGCACCATTTTGCAACAGGTGCTCGACCACCGGGATGCGATTGTAGCCAGATGCGAAATGCAGCGGCGTCGACATCCTGCCGTCGATATCTCTGCAGTTGACGTTAGATGACGTCAGCAAGGACTGGTGAAGGACACAGACACATGCACACACACGCACATGAACATGCACACACCGACCCCAGAAAGCAGAGACGTAAATTGAGCATCAATACAAAATCACTGTCCATTCCAAAATATGCACAATACACACGCTGTGTTACAGATCCATAAAGGTGCAATCAATCGCTGCTCTAGGTCAAATCTGCGTTGTTGAGCGACTTTGCCTTTTTTGATGAGGCAGGTGCCATCCATGCCATCCATGCCTTACAGCTTGATCCTTCCTTACCTTGATCGTTTCCATATCACCATTCTTGGCCGCCTCAAGCAACTGATTGTCTTGTTCTGATCCGATGGTAGGTTGATCGTCTGCACAATGAAAAACAGAAAGGAAAGGAGAGAGATGAGCGAGGCACAACCAAACATTACAGAACAAGGGGGCTGGTGGAGTGATATGTATCGTCAAGACAACTCAACTCCATTAAATACTAGACAACCATGCACTACACTGAGCAGTCATCGGTGGCTGCTATGACCATTGTCAGCTGTACTGTCAGCATGTTTCCAGCAAACATGACACAGACGACAAACCCCCACCCCCAAACACAACATGAACACACTTCAAAACGGAAGCAAACAAGTACCTTCAAGCAGCTTCTTGACAAACTCCTCGGTGGCCATCTGAGAAGCAGTCTGCCCGTCGTTGTTGGTTAGTGACACATCGGCGTCATGGCTGATGAGTAAGCGACATGCCTGTAGTTCATTGGCCTGGGCCGCGCGGTGCAGTGGGGTCAGACCTAGATTGTCTGGCATGTTGATCTACACACAACAGAAACAATCAATTATGTGTGAAAGCATGTCATAGAATAACTGCCAGTACTAGTATACACTGTACAACCACACTGCACACAGCAGTAACAGACTGTTATTAGCACATGAGGGAGAGGATCTTAACATAAGGCAATGTCTTACACCCAACTGTTCTATCCCCAAAATCACATTACACCAAGGAAAATGAGCAGCTGCAGATGATTGTGACCCAACACCCCCAAGTATAATACGGTATACAATCCTAGGACAGGACAGGACATGAACAAGCAAAGCATGTTGGCCCAGTAAATCAAGACCAAAGCAGCATTGCATACATGTACAAAGAACGCTAGCGGGCAGATTCAAGATGAAGCAGGCCAGGAGACACACCGCTGAACAGCTCTAACCTTGCAATTGTACTTGATCAAGACTTCCATGGCATCCACATAGCCTCGATGACAAGATAAATGCAGCGGTGTGCTCATTCTGTGCAGTCAAAGCACCACACACACACACCTTTGACCTTTGACCTTTGACGCCCATCGCCGGAGGCGATGATAGCAATGCTACGGCAGAAGCCATAGCAACTTGTGCTGGGATTACACCATTCAACAGCTTGCAAGGCTGAAGAATTGACCGTCACTATTCAGCCTGGTCTACACCATACAGCTATTTGGAGTGACATTTTCTGGCCAGTGAATCCCTTTTTTGGTCTTTTTCTTTTTTTTTTTTTTTTTTTTTTTTTTTTCCCGCACACACATCACCCCACATACTCCGGCATGCACTGGCTGTTGGTAACCACCCAGGAGAATGAAAGAAAAGTCAGGAAGAGTCTGAGAAAGAGAAGAAAGACGTGTGTGACCATAATCGTCGGGAATCGAACCCGCAATCTATCGATTGGAAATCGCTGCACATACCACTGCACCATATACACACACACACACACACACACACACACCAACACACACATGCACGCGCGTGCGCACAACACCCATAAGCTACAAAGCAGTCCATGTACGAGAAGACAGAGGACACAAATTGAAAAATGAGCAAGACGAAGAGAACACCAGCAGGCGAACTGGCCGTAAACACAGCTGGACGAGATGGGAATAATTATAATGAATATGACACTTCACTTACTCTCGATTGGCGGCATTGACATCGGCGCCTTTCTTCAAGAGCAGCTCCAGCAATGCTTTCCGACGAGCCACAGAACTAGCAGCCACACAGTGCTGCAAACACACACGCAATATAGAGACAAGCAATCAAGCAGGTCGTGGACTGGCACAGGTATACATCAGACAAACATAGAGAACAACATGGCACCCTACTTACACATACATGTAGATGCATAAACAATGAACATTGTAGGAAAAAAAACCAGCTATCAATACTTCCATCATTCTGAAGGCAAAAACAATGCCCGTACTTGCACATAAAGCAAGCAGAAAGGCAATTTCGACGAGAACATACCACTCCGGTGTTCAACGTCAGTGGATCGGAAAAGGCCATCGTTTCCAAATTCAGCAGCTTCTTGACACGCGACATATCACCTTGCCGACATGCCTCCAGGAACTGGTGGCCACGGAACTCAGCTGTACAGACAGGATGCATAAACACATGCACTGTGGATCAGATAGGAGGTGGAATGGTCCTTATGCACGGTGTACAGATGTACAAAGTTATGTACTGGGGTCGTAAGTGTGTACATACCCTGCTGGGTGTTCAGTGTGTGCTATACATGTGCATTTGACCAATTTAGCCCAGGCAGACAATCGCTTTTCCAGCTTCATAACTTTGGATCGAATTAATGACTAGCTACATCTTTGTCCGAGAAAAGTGTTCGTATGAAATGCCTTCAGGGCCAATTCCTTTCTCAGTGGAAAGAGCAGTAAACACAATAGAGTCCTGCACATAATCATTCAACGCCCAACCGGGCATACAGGATTCTACGGGGTTTCGTACATCTGTAAAACGTGCATAAAGCTTATATTAGAACAACACCAGCACGTCAAGCGCAGGGCCAACACTCCTGGATATACACTGAGGCACTAAGAGGACACGTGAACATGGCCAGGATGAAGGATGAGCAAAGGGCCAAGCAGTCAAGTACTAGAAGTATGCATAGCTCGTACTCAACCATGCTCGGACTTGAACGTTGCCAGAGCTATTCAACCATATACATACTACTACCAGGAGTATGGAAGCAAGAGAAAACAGCCACGTACTTCAAGTAATGAGTAAGCACAGGCAAATACAATATAATTACCATGCCTGTGCTGTGTATAGGGAGCACATGCGCAAGCACCATAACAACGTCAAGAGTAACATGAGCTCCCAACAGTGTGCAACTCCTGATACCCTTTCTATGGGGTCCGCCGACGGTGAAAACTCACATCACGTGGTGTAGTGTTCCGGTTGTACGTTTCCAGCCCGTCCTAGCGAGCAACGGAGTAATAAAAATAGCACTCCTGACAAAAAAATCTCACTCCGCTTATGCAACTCCCCAGCATGATCATGGAAGATTTTCGGATTGCGCGCATGCTATCCTTCGTTGTACGCAGTACTTGGAAGTACAAATCGTACTTGGAACACGTGATGTGAGTTTTCACCATCGGAGACCCCATACGCAGAGTGCACACTCTTGGGAGCTTATTTATTCTTGATAAAAATGACAAAATTATGGTCATCTTCGAGATAAGATTCACACGTACTGTGCATTTGAACTTGTAAGTCGGAAGTGAGCGCAACATGAAGAGGCGACTTGGAATGACAGTTTGCCAGTGTGGGATCAGCTCCGTGAGCCAACAATAATGAACACACCTCTTGCCTGTACATGTACACACAATACAGGACAAACAAAGAAACAAATTGAAGGGTAGCAGTGTGGAAAAGACAATGTGAAAGAAGGAGGAGGGAGAGAGAGAGAGAGAGAGAGAGAGAGAGAGAGAGAGAGAGACCCAGAATGTACACAAGCGTTGCGGGGGGCTTGGGTATTCTCAGTTGGTCTTCAACCTTACCTTCCCTTAGATGCTGCTTCGTGAAGCGGCGTGAACTGCCACAGGTCCATGGCATTAACACTGGCTCCATGCTGTACACAAGTAGACAAGTATGCATGCAAGCAGAGAGATAGACTAAGACACTTGTAATTACTACACTACAGATGGTATATGCACACAGAAGCACAACAAATGCAATTATAGACCACAAGTCACAAGTACACAACGCTGCTACATGCCTATTGATAGAGGGGGGGGGGGGGAGGGGGAGGGGGGAAAACGGAGACTCCCTCGATTTAGGCTAAGGCCTGTGGAGAATCCATAAATACAAATACAAATACAAGGTGAATGGCGCAGGCACGTACCTTCAGCAGCAGCTCAGTGACTTCATAGTGGCCATAAGAACAGGCATTGTGCAGTGGAACCAGGCCACTACAGACGGCATAGCAAACACACAAGACAAACACACAATCACACATTGTACTATGGTGCACCTCACACCGAAATAACAGCCGTGCAGAAAAATCAACCTGTAAGTACTGACAGAGTGTGTCACCTCAGGAGTATGCCGGCCAAGTTACAACGGCAATATATGTCTGTGAACACAACTACAACAGGTTTTGCTGAAGCCAGTTGGCAATAACCAGATGATAACTATTTGTACATCATGTTGCCTTTTCGGCTTTGTTCTGCCCTTACAGTATACCGTATTACTATTACCAAGAGTACATAACCCCCCAGAGTGTGCAACTCGACTATGGGTGCTGTCCCGACAGAATTTCAAGTTGACGTCATTTTGATGATGCAATGCGCACTGTACACGGATTATCAGACGAATCCGGAACCTGTGGTGGACCACAGCCGATCTGATCCTGTACAAATTATTGCAAAGTAAAACGTGTGATGCGTTGACACCCGTACACATGTTGTAAAACACTGGCGCAAGGAGCATTGCGTCATAAATAATGACGTCAACTTCAAATTCTGTCGGGACAGCAGGGTATGTGGGAGTTGCACACTCTGGGGGGTTATGTACTCTTGCTATTTACATAGCTTCAGACCGCTGCAACAGAGGATCAGCTTGACAGATGCTCTAAGTGAATTAGAATAAGGGTCAGACCGACACCTTTACACGACTACACAAATACATACATGCATGCACACATACAAACGCAAACGCGCAAACACACACACATGCACACACACACACACACACACATGCACACACACACACACACACACACATCCACACGTGCACACATGCACACGCACAGAGCTTGACTCACCCTTTGTCCTTGGCATGAACATCAGCACCGTGCTGCAGCAGCAGCTGGACACAGTGCACACGATTGTAACCAGCGGCAAGGTGCAGCGCCGTTGACTTCCGACCGTCACTTGCATGGCAGTTGACAATGATCGGAGTGACAAAGGACATGAGAATGTCTTCGCGACCACTGCGTGCCGCTTCTAAGAACTCGTCTTTCTTAAATTCACCTGCACGGACAAGAAGGAGGAGGCATCAGCAACACCAGTAAGACGCATTAGCATGCATGCATTGCAGCCTGCAAACGCTACCAATCCTACTCAGCTTACCGTTACAACGCGCATCAACTGGCATCCCAGTACATGTACTGACAGCCATCTTGCATGGCTAGGCACACACATTGACAAGTACAGAGTGATCCCTTCACTCATTCAACCCCATAGATCCAAACAACAAGACTTCGAATTGTCCAGCTGCAGAAGACATAATTCTGATATAGGTCTGTCCAGAGAAGCACTGACTAAAGGAAATAGTCGAGCTTCCGGCAACTTCCAGGATCCTACTACCTACAGTACCCACTTACACTCTACACACACGCAGTGCAGTACAAAGCAAGGTGCAGGTGTACTGGTACTAGTACCTGTTAGAATCAGCCTGGCTTGCACATCAGCCAGGTCCAGTGGCGTTTTACCATCCGAATTGCAAATAGTGGCGTCAGCACCGTTCTGCAGCAGTACTGCGCGGTGCAGTGCAGACAAAAACACACGAGCACACGCGGACATGCACACACACACACACACACACACACACACACACACACATGCGCATGTGCATGCGCGCAAGCATGCGCGTACACACACACATACAGTCCGTATCGCCTATAAGGTTGGCGGCTATAGTGATCAATTTCTCAAAATCATTTTCATTTGCCATAACTAAGTATACACAGTTATCGCATAGTAATAATCGTCTATAGTAATATATCGCCTATAGTGATCAAATTCATATTTCAAAAGACCGTTATTACATTATTTTTCCATTGGTTATAGTGATTGATGTAAAATCAAGCGATGTCAGAGGAGAACAGGGTGTAACTTCTTCGTGAAGAACTTGTCCAGTGAGTGTTGTTTGGTGAGTTTTGCTCGTACAAGTTGCCAAAATATGCCTCCATCATGAGGAAATGCTGATTTTGTGTGTCAGGAGCTACAGCCAGCTACATGACATTGTACATGTATGTAGTGCGTATGTGCACGGCGCGCTGAGTCGTTTGACACCCCACTCGCATACATTGCATGCAGCATCGGTCATAGTAATATATCGCTTATACTGATAACATGCTCAAAATCAAACACCAACGCTATAGGCGATACTGACTGTACACACACGAACAACACATAGGATGATTCAGAGTCTGCAAGAGATCGTGGTATTACATGTATGCACTACTTCTGAAGTACAATGTTTGTTGTACGGTCGTAGCACGCAAATCGTGGCATTGCTCATGGGCTATGATGCAATGGCTGGACTTCGTTTATCACAACTGTACAATCACAATGTCTATGACTATGTACTACATCCTGATCTGTGCATAATAGATAAAAGAACCTGCAAACACACACACCACCCCCCCCCCCCCCCCCCCCCCTGGTCCTGGTAAACACTGCCATTACGGTCACGTGTCCCCTTGCGGGGCCGACAATATGGAACGACAAGCGACGGTAGTCCGCTGAGAGAGAGGTCAGGGACTCAGGGACCATGTTCGAGAGAGCCATCACACACACACACACACACACACACACACACACACGCACACACACACCTGGTCATGGTAAACACTGCCATTACGGTCACGTGGCCCCTTGCGGGGCTGACAACATGGAAACGACGAGCGACGGCAGAAAGTCGGCAGTCTGCCAAGAGATCAGGGATCATGTTTCTTCGGCACGACGAGAGAGCCATCTTTGGCAGCTATGGATTTGGAATCCACGAGTAGCGCGGCAGCACCGACCACAGGCCCCACAGTGAGCCTTGCAGCATGAGAGGGCGAGCCGCATACGCGGCGGCGGAGGAGTCGCCTGAGCAGCAATGGTAGACACCGCCGCCCGGCACGGAGCCCGAGACGATGTCCGGAGCATCCGGGAGTTGGGGCACACACACACACATACACACACACACCGTGTACCACACACAGACACACACACACACACACACACACACCGTGTACCACACACAGACACACACACTCATGTATTGGGCCACAAGGGGCACTGCCCACAATACAGCAGCTATCAGCTAGAACAAGACATACACTGTGTCACAAATCACAATACTATCCTTGTAGTACATACCAATACAAACTTCCACCTTCCCCTTGGACGCTGCCTCGTGGAGCGGGGTGAAGTTCCAGTTGTCCCGTGCATTGGGATTGGCCTTAGCTTCCACCAGCATTGTTACGACATCAGCATGGCCGAATGACGAAGCATTGTGTAACGGAATTAGTCCCCCTGGTAGTACATGCATACGCGATACACACACACGCGTGTGCACACATGCGCACACATTTGTGTGCGCAACCATACATACACACACACACACACACACACACACACACACACACACACACACACACACACATATCATGTACATGCACACACGCACGCACGCAGCAGCAACACACGCATACATACGCGTGCACATACCCACAAGCCGCGCATACATGAATAAACCCAAGCTTCTTGTACACCCTAGTATACAGGAGAACAGAGGAAACCTACAGAACCCCTACAGAAACCCAACATTGAAAATAAATATCAAACATCAATTCGAACGGTAACACCAAAATAACCCACAGCGTGTGGGCAAGGACAGAAATAAACTGGAAGAATGCTCTGCTCTCACACGCAGTACAGCAGTACAGTACATCAAAGCGTACCATCGTCCCTGGCCATAACATCTGCACCACAGTCCAGCAGGTGGCCAACAATCTCTTTCCGTCCATATCCTACAGCGTGAGAATGGACAAGAAACAAACACACACCCTCCATATTAGTCACCAATGCCATGGCAATAGTCTATAGTCCAATACTGTTCGCTATTTACTGCAAACGAGGCGCAGCAGAAAACCATTACCAAGGCATTATGTCTTATGAGGAGTCAACTCGATCAAGTACAAAGCTCCTTGAGAAAAATTCAAAATTGAATACAAAAAATAAGTGAGGCTATCGTACCTGCTGCGAAGTGGAGAGGCGTAGACCGCCGTCCCGTGGTGTCCTGTAGATTGACATTGCTACTGGAAACTAGCTCCTTCACGCGCTTCAGATCGCCATTCTTACACGCTTCGAACAAGTTATCATCAGATGAACCGGTTTGCTGAACAGTGCCAGTAGCTGCATCACCTACCATCGACGGACGTGCAACGCCAGAAAATGGGCTGCGACATTCCTCATTGGACGAATCCAAACTCGATGTCGTGCTGGACATCGTTCCTGTCACATCTAGGAGTCTTCTTCTCTCTATTCCTTGTTGTTACGCAGCAGGAGTCATCCTGATAATATTGTGCATTGAGAAGCTTTGCAGAAAATCTCAACACAGTTCACTAAGAACTTCACAGCCGACTTGCCAATATTCGACTTTCTGTGAAACGACACTGCTGGGTCACATCCACTCGAGTACGTCTAGATGCCCATGCCATGCACGACTTGTTCCAGAACATTACTTCCGCGATTGCTGAAGCCGACACCCGTCATCGCACACGATGTTGAGTTGCTTCGCATGGACATACTAGACTTGGAGTGTGGAGGGAAAGGATGTGCTTGAAATGACCAATCCATCTCTTTCAGTCTTTGCATTCAGCATGATTTGATAGCCTGGGTCGGCCAAAGCGGCTGCGCAGACGCCGCCTTGCGATCACCACTGATAACGAAATCAATGAAACGCTCCATTTGTACCAGGGAGTCCCTGATTTGTACACTCGTCGTACTCAACAGGTGCATGACTTTTGTACAGAGTCTTGCCCACTTGCACTCTTGTTCCCACACAGACACCCTGCCTGGACACGGAGATTTCCCACTGTACTGTCCGACTGTAGTTATCAATCGTGTTGGTTTTAGCTTGACGTGGTGACGCTTTGTACTTGTCTTTGCAGTAACACTGCTTGCCAGGTCCATGTCCGCCCGGTCTCGATCATGTAGTGAACATTTCCCCTGGGCCCAGGGCCAGGCAGACTGTACTGCTCCAGACCCATCCTGAAGTACGTACAGCTGTAGTAGTAGTGTACTCAGTAGGTGTAATGACTATGTTCGACGTTCTGGACGGTGTTGCATGACGGCTCTTTGGTAACCCCCTGCCCTGGAATACCATGTTAGTCATTGTCACTGTGTCGTCTGGCACATGTAATGATTATGTAGTTGTGGTGGCTCTGCTAGTATCAATACTGAACTGAGTTATGACAGTTATGTATTGGAACACCTGTTAGGGGCACTGCATTATGACATGCTGCATTGCTGGAAGAGTAGTTGAGAAGCTTCTGAGTTGTGTGTACCCTCCTGGACCTCATCCTTTTCACTCAGGCTTGTGTGGAGAAAACAGGTGCGTGTATTTCAATCATGATCATCATGTGATTCAATCATGTTCTACATGAACACGTGTATTTTGTTTAAAAAAATCTAGCTTGGTGTACAAGTGAGATACTGTCGACATGTCACGACTGTGGTCCATGCAGCTAGCTGTGAAGAAGCAATGGCATAGGGCTAGTATAGACTAGTATTTTAAATATGAATCATGTCTTGGCCCATTCTCATTTGCTGTCTCAACTGCATGATTCCAACCACGCTAAGTCTGGATTGTTGTCGGGCTTGGAAAGTACAGTACTGCCTCCGTAAGCTAAAACTTTGCGTGTTTTCTGTACGGCCATCACCTCACCTCACTATGGACCAAGTTCTGGTGCACGGAGGAAGCGAATCATATCTTATCGGGCCACCGGCTTTGCTCCTGTTTTAACCAATTGACGGGAAAGCGGTTGCACGCACGCACAATGTCATGACATTGTATGTGATAATGACAGCCACGGCTCATGGTCACCATGACATGTGGCCCGTTGGGTGGGAAACTGAAGTGCACTGGACAACGTCGGCAGACCGGCTCTACAATTCCTGGACCACACTTAAGATCAAGATCGGATCCTTGGCCATGGAGTTGACACGCTGCCACGGTAGCAACAGTTGGAATGCTGCTTGGTCTACCCACAATAGAATGGCATGGTCACTGAGAATGAGCTTACCTTGAGGTAATGCAGGCCATTTTAAAGATCTCGGAATCAGTCTGCGTTTTTTTGAGAAGTTTGCATTTTATCATTTTTATGAATGAACATCCTATTATCATGTGGGATTGTCTCATACATGTACGGTAGTATCAAGAGTACATAAACAAGAGTGTGCAACTCCAGCTATGGGGTCTGCGACGGCAGAACTTCACATCACGTGATGAACCCGTGCACTCTAGTGCATGATAGATACTGGGTTGTACGCAGCCCAGCTTTGGGTACAACTCTCGTGTGGTCACTTTGCACTGTTTGCCAGCATAACCTTTTGAACCATGTCACGTGATGTGAAGTTCTGCCGTCGCAGCACAGCATAGAGGTTGTGCAGGCAGTTGCACACTCTTGGTTATGTACTCTTGGTAGTATCAAGAGTAGACTACGCTGTACGCTGTATGACTGTACTCTTGGTAGTATTTTATTATCATCAGGGAGTAGTGTAAACCCGGGAGATGACCGTACTGGCACATATCCAGACATACGTCCTCTGCGTCACATGAAAGAAACTGAGACTGGTGGAAGATGCAAGCCTCGGTGTCGCATGAAAAGAAAAGAAAAAAAACCCACTGCTGTTCCTAAATCTTGTCTCTCAGCCTAGAATTTTGCTGGCTTGCTTGGCACGTTCTTTGGTGCCTGGTGTTGCTGTAGACAGAGATCTCTCCGACCCATTCGGAGAAGACGGTACGTTGCCTTTGCTGCAGGCTGCATGCAGTGTGGGCATGGTCAAACTGCATGCAAGAAGATACACCCCCCCCCCCCCCCTTCCCCCATCACTGACCACCGCACGACTTCCATAACTCGATGACCATGGTGACTACTCGTACCAGTAACTGCGACAAGTAATTCCTTTGTCTATGATAATAAGAAAAGTGGGCAACGTGGAGAGTGTCCCGGGCTAAGAAATGAAAAAGGAATGTTAAGTTACAAAGCAACAGTTACAGTATTTACACTCTAATAGAGGTTATAACATCATGTATGGCATTGTTAGTTCTGATATTGATGCAGCAGAAAGAAGTGCGGCGGCCATTGTCCACTCCGACTTGCATACCAGGTATGTGACATGCATGGCAATAGCAGCATGGAGTACAGCTGCAAACGAAATCACCGTCACCACTTGGATGAAGCAGGTGCGTACATGTAGTGCCCAAGCAAAAGACACGTAAAGGAACGCAGAGCGCGCACTTGAAAGAACTGAAAAGCAGCAACAACAAGTCGGCCGCAGCATAGAATGTAACTGGCATTTTGCGGTGTGGTAAGGTAGACTGATAAAATCTGATAGAGCAGCAAGATGACAGAAATCCACACAAATAATTAGATGGTTGTCAACATGGGTGAAAACTGAAGATGGTTTAAAAGGCAGATACTAATCGATTGGTTAAAACAGATGGGATAAAAGTTTAAAATCAAATTAAAAATCATCTTTATTATTCTTTCCTCCTCGTTGCGGATACCATAGCAACTGCCAACTTACCATGGTTCGCGAGAACATACAGTGGCCGGTACTAGTAATCGCATTGCTATCTACGGGATGATGATGGTGGTGGTGGTGGTGGTGGTGGTAATGGTAGTGGCGACTTGCATCTAAGCCAAAGCCATGGCCAACTCAGTTGGTTGACTGGGTCTTGGCTTGGTCAGCTTCAAACTTCTCATATGCATTGACATACTGTTCTACTGCAGACCACACCTAGCAGGCACAAGCACAGCAAGAAGGCAAACACATAGGATGACTACATGGAAATGCCTAGTACACAGTCAGACGTAGGAGCTTTTCCACACTCTGCGCAAACTAGTCGGGAGTAGTGATCGCTAATGCCAAGTGCACAATGCCGCTTCTCTGCAACACAGATGCAAGCCTGGCAGCTGACAGTGGCACAGTCATGTCATACGGAATCGCCATAGCCCACTCAGCAGTGTGAATTGCCGCTATAAGTTAGTTGTAATATTAACTGCAATGCGAGCAGGTGCACATTCACAGGTATACTAGTACGCGTTAGGGGTCGTTGCAAACGTTTTTTGTCGTCTCTGAAACGAACATCGTTCTTTAGAGGGGGGGGGTGCGAGCGCGCAAAAAAAACGCAAATCGACCGATACTGTACATGCATGCGATTTTCGTCGTCCAGCATAGCAAGCTGCGTTCGTTTCAGAGGGAGGGGAGGGGTCCGAGTACGAATTATGACGTAGCAAGTCGATGCACGACAAAAGCTTGAGAATTCTGCATGAACTCGTCTTTGTGGGACGACAAAAAACTTTTGCGACGACCCCTTATGACTTGTGATAAAGCGGATGGGTTATGTGATACATGGATTGCGGCAAGACAACTTTCTGTGATAAATAGGATATTGACCTCGACGTTGGTCTAACGTACATGCATGCATGTGCATATGGGTACTTCTTATACTAAAACACACACACACACACACACACACACACACCACACACACACAGTGATACAATAGTATAGTAATAGTAGAACAGACCTTATCCTGGCGCAGGAGCGTAACGGCAGCCTCAATATCCGGCGTGAACACGCGGTCTTTGTCCCAGGGCTTGACAACGGTGCGCACCAATTCCCAGACACGTTGCAGCGGTTCAGTGCTCTTGATAGACTTGCTTTCGTTGAGGAGATCGAGTGCTTGGCAGGCAGCAAGCAACTCAATAGCAACAACTGTGTGCCAAGGAAGAAACAAAGAAAGAGATGAAATATCAGAAGAATAGTCAGATAACGGTATATAGTCGAATGCAGAAGAAAGCAGACTTTAGTTGCTGGGAGTTGACACACTAAATGTCACTGGCGAGTGAAGACATGTGTATGCGTGTATGGAGGGAGGGGCAGTCACAGGATCAAGACTCCAGTGACTACTACCTGCAGCAGTATTGTCCTTACCAATCTCTACGTGTTCCACCACAGTCAGGGCCTTGCGCGCAGCAAAACCACCCATGGAGACGTGATCCTCAGTGGCAGCAGATGTCGACTGCGAGTCGACGGAAGAAGGATGAGTCAGAACCTTGTTCTCTGACACTAAACAAAGTGATAGACAGGCAACCAGACAGACAGACACACACCATGTACCATGTATACGCCCGTCGCAAGAGAAGCACGCAAATCTGCAAATGCACTGGATGTGCACCCACAGATTTTCTCTTTATAGCAACGATAGCGGATCTGATTCTGATTGAAACAGATCAAGACAAGCGCCAGATAACTGTCTAATCCACACAACTGGCGAAGCCATGTGAATCGACCCCCCCCCCCCCCCCCCCCCCCCCCCCCAATGCACACCTGGTCTACACCACACGGAGTACATCGGAATAGGACGGCCAAGACAGTTACCTATGCACACCCTACACTTGCTGGGGTAACCAGTATAGACAGCACGCTGCTTTGATAAAAGCAGACACTAGATGCACTGCTACCTTGAAGTGAAATTGGAGTTATTTTACCAACCAGCCTCGGCAACTGGGTACTGGGAACCCAGGGCCAACAGACGTACCAACAACCTCAGCCATGAAATTATAGTAACGACACTGGATTGTGGAGCCGAAACTAGTCCAACTTCCAAAAATGCTTTGGCAAGAGGGTAGCCTTCCGACAGGTTGGAGACACACACACACACACACACACACACACACACACACACACACACACACACACACACACACACGCGCGGATAAAGCAGGTATTGGTCGACAAGAATAACATCACTCTCAAAACCTGACAAGAGTTGCTGGGTTCGGATTCGGAGATACTAGTGTCTTGATATTGAAGTATCAGAACCAAGAGTACCTACCCCCGCACACACCCTGATCAACTAATACTTTCCTGATCGACTTTACCATCATCCACGGTCATTTTGTACGCACCCACAGGAAAGCAATGGCATGCATGCACTAGTACATGTAGATCAGGGATCATTGGTTGATATGCACTACCAATGGGCATAGATATGAGCAGCACACTCTATGGCCTAGTATGGGTGCTATGTACTCTTGCTAGTCCATATGCACATTGCCAGTATACTCTACTTGAACTGTCTATATGCATGTGCTCTTGCCAGTACTTGAACTGTCTATATATGCATATGCTCTTGCCAGTGCTTGAACTGTCTATATACATGACTGGACTCTTGCCAGGTATAATCAGGCATGGCGACGGCCTGGCACGAGCAAAACTTCTCCAGGTTAGTCATGTCTCTCACCACAATTGTAAGCCTGCAGTAATGCAGATGTGCGAACTTTACTTTTACTTTACTCTTGCCAGTAGACTCTAGATGAAGTCATGAATTGTCACTGAACTTACCCAGTGCTGCCGCAGTGCAGTGAGCAATCATGAAACCTTGCGAGCAAGAAAACAACACAAGAAAACAACAGAAACAAACGAACAAACAACAGCACATGGCTCAGTGCATAGTCCCTTAGCAAGCATTGGTCATGACCCAATCGAGTACAAGTGCATGTTCTGGCACCGCCAGAAAAATCCAGATTCTAACAGTCTTCAGTATCACTATGCCCGAAGCCTATCAAGATAAAAGCGCAGCTGATATTGCGCTGTTTGCCCTGACGAGCGCTCGGTGGGCAAATATCCATGATACCCTCCCTCCTAGGAGAAAAGATATTGATGATCTCTTCCCACTAGTTTTAGAACAAGCATTTTTGCCGATCTTCTGCTGTACAGAGCACATGCAGGACATCTTGTTGGAGCAATAGACACACAGCTGCTTGCAGTTTACATGTACTTCAAACATGTAGCACGATTGGCTATCTCCGTGGAGGTTCTCATGTGACAAGGTCAGAAGTAAAGAAAAGGTACGCTGGCTTTCTCCACTGCATGCACGTCGGAAATGCAATCAAAACATTCGTACTCAGGCTCCACCAGCAGGTGTGGATCTGCTGGACTCACCCTTGTACTCATGATAGATTCCACACACATATACAGATACACACAAACAAAGACAACGAGATGCTGTTTCTGTTGTACAAGCAGGTAGCGAGGACAGCAGAATAGGCCAAGTGCCACTGACAGAAGCATAAGAATGTAGCTAGCAGTCACAGTTCACATTTAGTAGCCAGCAGTGACCATGCAGGGTGCAGAGCGCAGGGTGCTGCAGACTTTGCTCACCAGAGTTCAGACCACCGTTGTTCACCAAGAAAGCTGGCAGATCACTGTACGCTGCAGACAGCAACACAGACGGACAAAGCACAGGAATGAATTCTCTGTTGAATCTTGGGAAGAAATAGCTACACACTACCATGTCATACATGAATTGTCCCAAAACAGGGGAAGGGGAAGGGGATGACCTAACGTTACCCTAGAAGGTAAATGGTGGACGAAGCAAACACGCACGCACAGTCGCAAACACATCACTTGGATCAGACAAGCCCCCTCCCATCATCAATGTCCACCCATGCCAGAACAAACAATGCTCCCAATATGTCGAGTCAAGAGATGGTTGACAAAGGTACTTGGTCTGCAATGCACTGCAGTAGTAGAATCACCTTGGACAGCAGGAGGACAACAACTTACATGGGTTGCAGAGACGCTCGATACGCCGCTCACTGATGTTGGCAATCTCATGAATACCAATGGCTAGATAATCCATTGCCTGCAGACAGGCACAAATAGTAAAAGAGGATTAGAAGGCCGCGCCATGAATGGGCACGATTGCAAGGGGAACAGTGAAGGGAGTGAGTGCTGTGACTTCAGTCTCAGGCGACTGAATCATCGGCAAGCCGTATCCACCCAACAGTAGATCATTTAGTCAGCCTCTAGGCCTAAAGACTCACTTTGTTACTTTTAGTTGTACTCCTCCCCTTTGCACCCTGGCATGGTGCATTGTAGAGTTCGCGATAGCATACGATACTGTTATGCTAGAGTACTTTGCCCTTAACGCCTCTTGGCTTCTATTATACCATGACTGGGGAGTATAGTTCTGAGATAATGCACACCTTCTGATTGGCCATCCCCCCCCCCCCCCCCCCCACATATAAAACCTTGTTGCATAAAACCCTGTTGGCGTTCGTCCTCTTGCCTTGTCTACCGCTCCTATCCTCTTCTACGTGTTCTTTGTCATCTGCAAGGTACCTGTGTGCCTTGAAACGGAATGCTCGGTGTGCTCAGCTTGGCTTAGTCGCTACTGATAGGTGATCATGAATATCATGTAGATCATCGGTGATCACGACCGAAAAGATGATCAAGGACATGAAGGGTGTGCTGTGAAAGTGCAAGAGGCCAGCGAGGGGCGAGACACGCCAACCCAACAGGGCCTGGCAAAGGCGGCTGCACTCTCTGAGGATGTGGGTCGTCTGGTCCTGGCCCACGTCACATTGATTGGCAGATTCTGACATTGAGCGACAGGACATATTCCCACTCGAGGGGAAAACGTAGTGTTCGGCACTGGAGGAGACAGGCACCAGCATTGCAAAGGCTGGTCAAGCTACATGCTTGCATGAAATCTTGATTGTCAAAGAAATTAATGCAGGAGTGTACACTCTTTAGTCTTTTATCATACTTCTGCCAAAAACGACGCAATAAAAAAATTCTGCCTTGGGTGACCCATCACAGCTGGAGATAGGAGCCATACCCTCTTGATTATGGACAGGGGACAGGCTGCAATGTCAAGATAACGAATAGTTACACACTGGCCATTACGAGTCTCCAATCAGCGCACTCAAGCATAAGGTACTTATTCACCAAAGGCATGGCAAGGCTTGCAACATGTATGATGCACTGTACCTTAGCAGGATACTCGCCATGGAAATTGCCTGCGGACACAGTGACATTTCGCGAAGACAGCACCATCTGTAGTGGCAGATAGAAATCAAAAAAAAAAAACAGCATGAAAACATGACAATCTTTTCGAATATAACAGCTTCATGCACGTCAACAAGTAAGGAATGCTTACGGCAAATCCGCCCTCCTTGTTCCAATACAACAAGAACAAACAAAAACAGAAGACAACCCACAAAAAAGTCTTCCGAAAGATGCCGTACAGTTACAGTTGTGTATGCTGCATGCACATGCACATGCACATGTCATCTGTTGAAATGGTGCCTTTCCACCACTGTACTGTAAGCCAGTCACAAAAAAAACATTGAGGATTAGAGAACAACATTTTCTCCTCCCCCCCCCCCCCCCCCCCCACACACACGCACACGGTCAAGTCTACTTTGTCTTGAATTATAAGTTGAATACTCACTGGATTGTCGGTGGCACTGTTCAGTTCAGTTTGGATGAGGGTATTCACGAAATCAATCGTGTCATTGGTAACTCCATGAACCTACCAGCAAGAGTACATAATGTAGAGACCGCACACATAGAAACACTCCTCAGCAACAGATCCAACAGTTATACTGCTACCACTAAAATAGCTTGCTACATAACAGCTCACTCTGCCGATATCCATAGTGGCCCAATACACAACTTCAAACAAATTGCCGATGTACTAAGATGTGACTTTGGCAGCAATATTAGAAGTTTGTTGCTTATAAAGCTCGTGACTGATTGAAGACACTTGGCTGGCAAACGGCTAACTCAGTACATCTTAGCTCGGACTGTCCCTCGCACGGACGTGAGTCCAGGTGATAAAAGATGACAGTGCTGTGAAAGGCTGACGACCCCCTGCACCGGTTTATGACCACTCCATGTGTAACATTGACTGGTACTGCTGCCTGACGCTCACAGGGTGTTTGCCAGGCTGGACACAGAGCATGTGCTGTGTAAGTTGGTATCCCTAGCTACGTTTGAGCTGGGGAAGCACTAAAGCAGTGCTCTACAGAAGGAGCACGGATTTCGCTAGTGTACTCAAGCTCAAGTGATGAGAGATGAATTCCTTGAAACACTGCGCATTGAGCAGGGCATGGTGCTTTCTTGCAGGTTTGCAGAGTGGAAGGTTCAGTATGCTTCGCGTGTGCTCCAGAAAGCAGTCACGAAACAGCCAAGTGTCCCCCAGTCGGTAGGAAGCACGAGCTCAAACGTTAGAACTTCTGCCACTGCACGGTTCAGAAAGATGTTTCGAATCAAATTTGCTTTTCTAAACTTAGATGGACGGCGGGCATGTTGTGTTGGTAAATGGCCCTACGGAACCAAGCATACCTGTGGTGTGCAGCGTAGACTGTACGCATCCTGGACGCGTGAGCATGTAGTGTGAGACTCTGTACAGAACAGGCAATACGAGAAGTGCTGATCAGCGAGAATACGAGAGTAATAGAAAGAAGGAAAATCAGGCGAGCATGCGCTCAAGTGACTGGGGACTGAGTCAACACGGCAAGAAACAAGTGTAAGTCGCATCCAATCTCCATCACTACATTGGGGGAATAAGGGAGGCTGGCCTGGTTGGGCATAACCAACTCGCGTAGCTTCTAGCGGAGAAAGCCAACAACGAAAAATGGCCGAGAAAATCCGTTCATTGGGAGCTTGTGCCAAAGTAGCTATGAGAAATGGGTTTCAGCAGTCATACGTGCACGCCATTAGTGTTTGAGAGAATGCCGGTGTTGCACATCACTGCGCTGCAGTATGGCCATGGCTTCAAAAATAGTCCGAAGCTCTTTTCCAGTTAAATGCTGCAAGGCCGTGACAAATCTTGTGAATTTTTACATTTCCTCAGCAGTGCCTAGAAGCTTCGTAGAAAGGGTGATCGCCCTGTTCAACAGCACGAGCCATCCTAACCAGGCACGCGCACTGTGAAAACCGTGAGAGGACCTCGAGTTCCTTAGTGACAATATTTCATATCCAGCCACTACCAGCGGCGTAACCAACTGGCAAACCCAAGCATGCCCAAGTGAACGCAGGCAGCAGCTCTAAGCTCGGCTGAAACTCCGAGGGAAGATGTTATTTCAGCTCCAGATGAAACGTATACGTGGTACACATACACACATGCATACACACACATACACACACATACACACACATACACACACACACACACACACACGCACACACACACACATGTGCGTGCACGCACGCCCGCGCACACACACACACACACACACACACACACACACACAAACACACACACACACAACTCTGTAGCTATGACTCTGTGTGGTCCAAAGGATATCAATCGCTGACGGACTAGACTATAGCTCACCAGCAATGGCTGATGGATGGATGTCACTGTTCAGTACGGAACGCAATCGTCTGGCTACCAGCTGCTGGCCCTTGTGTGGACGTGCAGCATGGACATCTATGCACACACAACACACGCACACAGCACACAGCCCACATACATACATACACACACAGCACACAGACAGCAGGGTCAATGGCATACAGTACACTGTGATGATCAGCAATTCAGCAAAAGATGACTAGCTACTAGCAAGAGTACATAACCCCCAAGAGTGTGCAACTGCCTGCACAACCTCTATGCTGTGCTGCGACGGCAGAACTTCACATCACGTGACATGGTTCAAAAGGGTATACTATGCTGGCAAACAGTGCAAAGTGACCACAAGAGACTTGTACCCAAAGCTGGGTTGCGTACAACCCTGTATCTATCATGCACAGAGTGTAAATAATGTGTACGGGTTCATCACGTGATGTGCAGTTCTGCCGTCGCAGACCCCATAGCTGGAGTTGCACACCCTTGGGGGTTATGTACTCTTGCTACTAGCTACTACAATTGTAGCTAGAGAGGGATGTGGGTACAGTCAACCTCGTGAACAACAAGCCTGGCTATAAGTATAACACAGACACACGCAGGCACAGTGCAATGCCAACGGTCTAAGGCTGCGTTTACACGACAACCACTGCAGCATTCGACTTGCTGTCCTACTGTGCAGCGGACATGGAAATCCAGTGGATCGACCGGGGCCGGCGCCCTCAGCGCGTACAGAACGCTGCGTGCAGTGCACATGTTGATCCGATGGGACCAGTGCGCTGCAGCGCATAAATGCATGTGTGTCCCGCTTACCCACGGCCGCATGGCCAGCGCCCTGGGGCCGCTAGACGAGCGACCGGATTTCCATGTCCACAACAGTACTTGCGCCATCACTTAGAACACGCAAAGCCAGCTGCCCCTGCAAAGCAGACAGCAGTCTTTAAGTTCTTTAACAAATGAACCGACACCAACCGTAAGGCCCGGGTCCAGTACCAGCACCAGCTGCTTTGCAGGACAATGCCATTATTATATATGTCATGGCAACGACACAGCCATGTATGGAACTGCAGTGTACATACTGCGGTATACATACTGCAGTATATGTGTCAGAAATCAAACTGTCAAATTCCACGCACTGCAATCCAACAGGACAAGGTGCACTTACCGGCATCGAATGCTTTGTTGGTTCCACACAGTGCCTCCAGTGTCATTGCCGCAACAATATCTGCCTGTCTCGCTATCCGCTTGGCTCGCACCAGAGCTAAAAGACACCGAGGACATACAAGACACAGTACAGTGGACATACAAGACACAGCCCAGTGGATAGATGAGACACAGTGGAGTGGACATACAAGGATCAAACCAATAGGTTGTGAATAGGCCAAGGCACACTACAACTTGTACAAGACTCACCGAGGACCGACAAGGATCACACAAACCAATAGGCTTCGAATGGCCCAGGCAGCCGAACAGGAAACTTCTTACTGTTGCTTCTTGAAGTACATGTACATGTTGAATGCATTTCTATTAGAATTCAGGGCTATCTAGAACGCATAGGTAATAAAAAAGACTTTTGTAGTATAACCTGCAAAGCAACGTGCACATTGCTCCTCAGAGCTCTGCTTCACAGCTTACAAGCCTCTTGTACGGGCAAAATTAACACAATGGATGTCGGGGGGGGGGGGGGCAGAGGGCTCACTGACGGTGGTCATGAAACAGGCAAGAGTTCAACAACGCACACAGACACGCACAGGCCTTTGAAACAGGGAACTGGATAACCATCACTGCTCATTCGCACATTGACATACCTTCAGATCCAATAGCAGTGATAAACTGGGTGCCATTGATCAAAGCGATTCCCTAGCGAGAAGAAAGAAATCAAAGGGCAAAGTGCGACACTCCACGTCTGACACACAACAGCAAAACAAACAGAAGCAGCTGGAGACCCATGCACACATCTCTTGTGTGTGCCAAATCATCCCAGTCAAGTCTGCCAGCACACACACGCACACACACGCACACACACACACACACACGCCCACAACCCCCCCCCCCCCCCCCCCCACACACACACATACACAGGTACATGCACACACGTGTACACACAGTGCTAGCAGACAGAGCGACTACATACCTCCTTCGCTTGGAGACTGATAGGCTCAAGGTCATGGGACTTGAGGATCTGTACAAGGCAAAACATGTGCACATGCGCACACACACACACACACCATTGGACGCCCATCGCCGGAGGCGATGATAGCGATGCTACAGCAGAAGCCATAGCAACTTGTGCTGGGATTGCACCATTCATCAGCTTGCAAGGCTGAAGAATTGGCCGCCACTATTCAGCCTGGTCTACACCACACAGCTATTCACACACACACACACACACACACACACACACACACACACACACACACACACACACACACACACACACACACACACCACACACAAAGAAAAAATAACAGCTGTCATAATACTTCGAAGTAAATTAATTCCCGAAGCTATATGTTACTTTAGTAGCATCTGGTGCTAGCCAGGGTCCACACCGCTTTATTTCGTATGTGTATGTGTGTGTGTGTGTGTGTGTGTGTGTGTGTGTGTGTGTGTGTGTGTGTGTGTGTGTGTGTGTGTGTGTGTATGTGTGTGTGTGTGTGTGCGTGTTTGTTTCTGGCGTCGGGCACGCCTGGCGCTATCCCAAGGAGATGTCTCCATGGATGATTGGCATAGGACTTCCTTTCAGTTCCAGTGCATATTGCGGCATATAACCATGGCAAGACGAGCGCTGATTGGCTGAAAACAGGCCCCCGTACTGCACCATAGTATAAGTAAATTTTTGAGGTTGCTTGAGCAAGAAGTTTGCCTGAAGACTTGCATTGTAGGTAAGGGCATTCCACAGTGCGGTATGCAGAGCTTGACTAGAAACTGGTGCAAATCGCTGGTGTCAAAGTAAAACTGTTGGAACTCGAGCATTCCGAAGTGCCGGGCACATACCAGTAGGTAGAGCGCAGTACGTACGATGAGTGAAAGCCGCTGCTGCGAAAGTAAACCAGCTCACGTCTCGCTCCCGTCTCATCATTGAGTTCAGTCACACCTGTCGAGGAGAAGGTTTGTTGCTTCGCTGCTAACAGTTATCTGTAAGACGTCTATCGCAGGACACCTACGAAGGGATCGTAGAAAACTTAAATACGAAATGTCTAGACAAAATTCTTATGGAAATTCCGCTGCTGAGGGCTGCAAGACCAGGAGAAGCTTTGTACAGCCTATCTTGTCTTCACCGATCCTGCTTTGCCAATCCCTTGCAGATGCACATTCAGCGCTGGCAGATGTGCAGGGCCTTCGCGCAATCCTCGAGCATGTCGTCATTTCCAAGAAAGACATGGTGGCAACAACAGGCATCGTATTCTTTGCCGAGGAATGCCAGTGTTGTACGTAGTTTAGCTGCACGCTGTTCACACGCTGATTGCATGCTGTCTGCACGCTTTTTGCCTGGTTACTGCTAAGATTACGTGTCCGTGCCTGGGTACGTGCCTGGGTCCGTTTGGGTTATAACTCATGGCCCTGCGCCGTTTTCCTGGTCTTCCGTTTTCTGTAGTCGTCGCAGCTCCTCGTGTTGGGTCCGTTTTATTCTCTCTCTCGTGGTTTTCTGCCCTTTTGTTACTCTTATCGTTTCCGTTGTCCTCCTGAGCCCTGCTCCTTTCCTTTGTCCTCTTATTCGTCGTTTGAGGCCAAGTAAACCGTATCAACCCGAACAATTCGTTGCTCTGTCTGACTGGTCGCGGGGGCTCAGACAACATTTGGCACCCAATAAGGGACTCGAACCCTTGACCCTCAGATTTGTTGCCCTATTGGCAACTGGCGCCCAAAACCTGTTCTCGTAATTTTGTAGGTAGCAATATGTTGAAGTTCGGAACCGCTGCCAGTTGTTTGCTCTCTGTGTTTTCTTTTCTGTTAAGTTTACGCGAATATGCTGATCCATCTCGGATTTACTTCGTAGCTACTGGCCGCGAATGTGGCAAATCGTCTGCTGTAACGTCACCTCCCGCACCCGCAACACCACCACCTGTACCGTCGGCAAACCAAGACTCTCTCGCGGTGGAGTTCCGGCGTGTACGTCGCCGCTCCCGCCGGGCTCGGCACCGCCGGCGAGTACCAGGGCGGAAATCAGTGGAAACCGTCGCTTCCCGTCCGGCTTCTCCCAGCCCGGGAGTCATGGTGGAGGATTCGGATGCGACTGACGTAGTTTATTTGGTGGATATTCATGTTGCTAATGATCTCGAGTGATTGCGCATTGTATTATTATTTAGGCCTCGGGGCGGTTGGGACGGTGAGGACATGGGTATTGGTGTTGTTCAGATAATTTAAGAGCCAAGGGCCATACACAGGTTGAACAACTCGCTTAATGACGACATCAGTGTGGACGGGTTTTTTTTGCAGGGTTTTAGTTTAAGGGGCTACGCCACACTGGTGCCGTCGTTAAGTGTAAACCCACCTGGCCCATTAGTCACTTGCTCAACCGTTCCCTTTTTCACCCCTCCCCTTCTTAAAGATTTGTTGCTTTGTAAAGTCTCAGGAGAGACTTAGTTATCTTAGGGCGGAGTAATGTTGTACGTAGTTTAGCTGCACGCTGTTCACACGCTGATTGCATGCTGTCTGCACGCTTTTTGCCTGGTTACTGCTAAGATTACGTGTCCGTGCCTGGGTACGTGCCTGGGTCCGTTTGGGTTATAACTCATGGCCCTACGCCGTTTTCCTGGTCTTCCGTTTTCTGTAGTCGTCGCAGCTCCTCGTGTTGGGTCCGTTTTATTCTCTCTCTCGTGGTTTTCTGCCCTTTTGTTACTCTTATCGTTTCCGTTGTCCTCCTGAGCCCTGCTCCTTTCCTTTGTCCCCTTATTCGTCGTTTGAGGCCAAGTAAACCGTATCAACCCGAACAATTCGTTGCTCTGTCTGACTGGTCGCGGGGGCTCAGACAACACATGCACCAAAGCAAACTTATCAAAAGGCATTCTGCACCTATAATTATGGTGAAATTGAGAGTTGAAGCATGTGTTTTTTTCTTTTTGTTTTCTCATTGGCATGTACACATTTTAATAGTACATTCAATAACCAAAAATGAGGACGATTGCAAATCAGATTCTTGATGAAATACCCATCCGCTATACATCACAAATCCTCTACAAATTTGACGATTTAGTGAAATTGTCATCGCCTATACAGTCAACCTACCCTTATAACGATAACCTCTATAACGATATTTTTCTGCCAAACCAAATCACTCCATTGACTTGTGTACACAATGCCTTACCTCTATAACAATATTGCTATAACGATATTACCCCTATAACGATATAAAATGGGCTGACCAATCGACATTTTCCATTTTATGACAATATCTAGCAGGGAATATGTAGATCCCACTATCCAGGTAGGGCAAGCTTCACTTGATAAGTCGCTGGGACAGGACGAAATGCACCCATTAATTGGGGCACCAGTGGGCACCTTGCTGTGCACAGAATGTGCACGTACGTCATGTTTTTTATGCTATGAAGAGTGTAAAAAATGAACGAAATCCATGCATTATGACGTATGTGTATGAAATGAACCAGTTACCCCTATAACAAAATTACCCTTATAACAATATTTCTTGGTGTGACGCAAATATCGTTATAAGGGTAGGTCGACCGTATCTCAAAAGTAAGCATTGAGACTCCGTTTTATTTTTTTATTTCGCCATTTGCATACACTACCTATTAGCAACCGCCCACCAAATTTTCAGAGCAATAGTTAATTTTTCGGAAATAGGCGTGAGCCACCTTTTAAGGTGGCTCGCGCCTATTTCTAAACTCGTCTTCTGCGCAGGTCAGCATTTAAACGGGTCCTGGCAGCGTTAGACCCGCCTGTTGCCGTGAATACTCTTAATCTCAGGGTCGTGGGTTTGAGCCCCACGTTGGGCGCCGCTGAAACACCGGTCGTCCCGGGTCTGGACTGTTCCCCCGTTCCCCGCAACAACACGACGCTCTGACTCATTGGTTTTGGTATCAAATATTATATTATTAAACACGACTTGTGGATATAGGTTTGCGGAAGAGCGGGGAGGGGGGGAGACAACGAAATCATAAATGACTAACAGTTATAAACAGGCTAAAGGGCGAACAGACCGAAACGACCAATGAGCGACCGGTACGTACAATGCACGTGACAAGAACCAAGACAACGACACCGTGGACGAATCACACCTCTCTCTCTCATACCCAAGCCTTACTCTCACAGCGCAGCGCATGCTTCGCACAACCTACGTATGTGCGACAACTAGTAGACAAGCACACTCTCACAGACGGAAGCAGAATCTCATCCTCTCGAACAACGCGTACTCCCACAAGCCCCACACACACCATATTCGTCACTCATCACGCCATCCACACCACGTACACCTACATACACCACACTCCATATCTGGCACACATCACACCATCACCATACCCATACGCACATCGGACCATAATAGGACACCGGACCGGACAACACAGCAAGACCAGAGACAGCAGCGTGTGGAAATAATAAGCGCGTCGAATTTCGCAACAACTGGACAATGCCTTCAATGAGCCCTTCAAGCACCACGTGAAGCATCTGTTCAGTGACTGGTATGCACAGCAAGTGAAGGCAGACCCGGATGCAATGCACGCAAACATGTTGATGATCTGAAGATCAACTTGAGGATGTCCGTTGTCAAGCCCATCCACCTACAATAACTTGTGCAGACCATCGTTTGGCTGAAAACACGGAAGTCTGCATTGGTCCGTGGGTTTGTCAAAGCGAAACCTTCTTTCTTTCTTCTCTGTCTTTTACTTCCACCTTCTCTTTTTTTTCTTTTTTTGTTCAGCACAAACCTAAATTCACCAGTCTCTATATATATATACTAGTCCTGGTGGTGACAGTCAATTTTTTCTTCAGACTTTTCCCGTTTGTGTCTTTCCCTCAAACTAGTCAAGATATATACTTGTATATACTAGTATATATATATATATATAGTGCTAGGCCAGCTCAGTTTTATCACCTTTATCACCTTTATCCTTTATCACCTTAGTACCGCGATCCTTACTGGCTATGACACTGAATCGGATATGAGTTGATAGCGCCCCTAGCGCTTTCTGTTATCCTTGTCCCGCCATACTGGGCTTTAAATAGTGGGTTATTTTTCTTGATGTTCATATCACCTGATGAGTGCCTGAGATGGCATGAAACTTTAAGTTGTGACTGATCAAGCCATCTGTTGTTCTGACTAGTGTATATACTAGTATATAAATAAAGAGGGGGGGGGGGGGGGTGACTTACTTCTGCTGCATCTCCCCAGCCAGTCTCAGGACTCCACATCTTGCCTTCGCCCATAAGCCCAAGAGCAAGATGTGAGAGTGGAGCAAGATCACCGCTAGCACCTACAGTGCCTTTCTCTGGAACGTACGACAAGCAGGACTCTGGAAAGAGAGAAGAAAGAGAAAGGGAGAGTGAGAGAGAGAGAGAGAGAGAGAGAGAGAGAGAGAGATAGAGAGAGATAGAGAGAGAGAGAGAGAGAGAGAGAGAGAGAGAGAGAGAGAGAGCGCACGATAAGAATTATAATTATACTAGTGGTGAAACGAATATTCAGATATTCGTTCAGTTGTCACATTCGAGTATTCGTTACGTCATTTCGAATGCAGTGCATGTACACTCATGCACACCAAATACAGTACAGTGCAGTGCATGTACACTCATGCACACCAAATACAGTACAATACAGTACAGTGCAGTGCATACCGACTGCCCTCTGAGTCTCTGACTTCGTACTGCATGCACGCACATGTATGCGCATACGGGACTGCCAATGTTGCACATAACATGTATGAACTTCGAAGTAGCCTTATGTAGCAGTACCTTTTATGTGGCACTACCATTCGTCATACCTAATAATAATGACAATATCCAATCAAATGACTGAGAGGAGAGCATGTATATACACTACATGTAAACAGGCGACTCAAGCCAATTCAGCACCTGCTCCTTCAAAGGTATTCACAAACATGTCAGGGTGTATGAGCATGTCCCACGGAAGGAGAAGACTAGGCACAGGGAGAATTCTCCAGGTCTATATACACGTGGTGCAGGGTACTGGTTTGATGACTCCCTGATGTTGACTCTCAGCAACATGAGCAATCTCTGAGCACTATGCAGACACATACATGCAGCATTTCCCCTTTATCATGTCCCTCGGTCGATTTTCCTCGTTCGTGGATGCTGCATGATGTAGTCTTCTGCCACCCTTCTGTTATACATGTATATTATTCGTGTTCGGTCTGTTCTGTTCCTTCATTTTGTCCTTCATCGTTACTTTCCTGTTTTTTTATTATTTATTTTTTGCTCTTTGGTGTTTTTGTTTTGTCCTCCCCTCTCTCATTTTTGTACGGACACGTGGCACAGTTTGGCACAAGCGAGGTGGGCAAACCAGCCCACTACGCGGATGTGCTTATAATAATAGTAATACATGCAGTACTATTGCTACTGAAACCAAGACAAACTCACTGTTGAACGCGGCCACCATCTTGTTCACAGTTTCCAGACGAATTCCGCTGAATGCAAAAAAGGGAAATTTAAACAAGCGTCATGACCCGCAAGTGAGTGAACCCAACACAAGACACTGGTTTGCTCCAGCAAGCAGTCAGGTGCAAGTATCCTTCGAACCTCCAATCTACATTACTACATAAGGTAGTATCTAGCATGTACTGAAAGCAAGAGTCCATAAACAAGAGTATGCAACTGTGATCTCTTTTCTATGGGCCAGATGCGCGGCGCGCTGCCTTCATTACATCATTCAGCTGCAGTCCGCGCACTGCGGAAAATCAAACACCGCACTTTTCCTCTGGTTTGAAAATGAACTTTCGTACGGAACTGGAGTTCAAGCGCCAGAATTTAGAGATTGCGTAGGTACTGGAACGAATCGAGCAAAAACAGATGGGCTCGTACGAGAAATTGTGAGTTTGAATGCATGCTTTCAGAGCGTGATGAAGGCAAGTTACGTAATGAAGGCAGCGCGCCGCGCACTGACCCATAACCACAGTTGCATACTCTTGTTTATGCACTCTTGCTGAAAGTAATAAACAGAAAAAGAGTCCAGTAACGAAAACTGTTTTCGCAGTCATCATCGTACTGAAAAGCAGGAAAGCATGCATGGCGACGTTCTTGTGGAGCAGTCCGCCTGACTGACTCTCGCGTGAGCCATAAAGTAAATAGTTTTAAGAATGCACGCAATATGCGAACCTGTATCCCTTGCAGAGAATGTTGATACGCACCGCAAGAAGTCGACGCGTCTTCTCCGGACTGAGAGCCTTTCCGATGCCTACAAGAACAGAATGGACACCACCCATGTATCAACAAAAAACTTACTTGTAATACCTCTGGACAACAGCATATTTAACGAGAAGAAAAATTAAAATTCTTGCAAAAGAGAGACGTCCGGATCCGTAGGAATGACACACTAGTTCGGGATCAAGGAAGCACATGCAGCTACTAACGCATTGATACGTAGATCAGACGCACCCCCAAGTGCTCAAAGACAGAAATTTTCCATTCACAGCATCCCTGCCATCCTCACGCCAAGTTACAACTTGTCAAGGCCGCAGCACGGTCAGAAAGGTGCTCAATTTCCAAGCAGGATGAATACCTAGTACCCTCCTAGACCACCTTACTATAATACGTTTGTTCACCTACTCTGGGATTGTAAGTATACGCACTCTGAATGTGATACAAAGACTAGAAAAGGATTGCAGTGCCAATACAATACCGAAATGCACTTACCGGCACAGTGAGAGCGAATAAGGTTGTCCTGCAGCTCGCTGCGTGAAGAACACAAACACCGCACGCAAGCGAGCGAGCGAGCACACACACACACACACACACACACACACACACACACACACACACACACACACACACACACACACACACACACACACACATGCATGCATGCATGCACCCACAGAATGAACCAGTCAATATAACCGCTAGAGCTGACATTTCCACCAGCACATAGTCAGTCATGCCAGAATACAGAGTGGAATAGAAATACTATGGCATATGGCCACAAACCCCAGCTTTGCCTTATGATGGAGTACACCCCGATCCCATGGAGGTGCATTTTAAATATGCTTGGTGTTACCCTCCCGAAAGCGAGGGGCTGCACCTGCTACACAAGTGAAGCCACAGCTGCACATTCAACAAGAACTGGCCATCGCTCTACATTGTACTGGGACATACTGACAGTAAATCTGACCAGTCAATTCACTCTCCTAAGAAACATGGACTGGATGGTAAAGTGAGCAAGACATGAGAGATCGCCCGCTAAACAGGGCATGAGAGATCGCCCGCTAAACAGGACATGAGAGATCGCCTGCTAAACAGGACATGAGAGATCGTCCGCTAAACAGGACATGAGAGATCGCCCGCTAAACAGGACATGAGAGATCGCCTGCTAAACAGGACATGAGAGATCGTCCGCTAAATAGGACATGAGAGATCGCCCGCTAAACAGGACATGAGAGATCGCCTGCTAAACAGGACATGAGAGATCGCCCGCTAAACAGGACATGATAGATCGCCTGCTAAACAGGACACGAGACATCGCCTGCTAAACAGGATATGAGAGATCGTCTGCTAAACAGGACATGAGAGATCGCCTGCTAAACAGGAGTGTACCTAATCTATAGAGACCTACCATACTTTGTCACCAGTAATTACTGTCTTGGCAAATCGGCCAAATCCAGTCGACACTCCGTATACAACTGGAACACACAAACGATGCACACAAACAGGAAAGCAGAGTGAGCAGCAGTTACCGTGGCGGCTACATGTAGAACACAACCGTTGCCATCGACAACAACAGCAGCAGCAGCAGCAGCAGCGCTTCACACAAATGCCAGAGCTGCCCAGGTTAGGCCAGAGCTGGGCTGCATGAGCACGCCCTCTGACCTGTATACCGGTAGTCATCGATGGAGAGCTACATGCGTTGGTATGCGTTGCCAGCTGTTATCCACTACCTTAAACCAACATACTAGTAGTAAAAACTAAGAAGTGCAGAAATCAAGTTTGATGAACACAACAAGAACTACTGTAGTACTGTAGTAGCTATTGCTTACCTCGACCTTCCTCCACGATTTGATCAATAACATTGCGGGAGCTCTTCACACGCTCAACAGCAGCATCTGTGACCTAGCACGGATACACATACACAGGCTTCAGACTTGTTACAAGCAAACAAGTGCCCTAGAGTACACACAAAGTCCCGACAGTCCAGATACTACCGATGTCCGAAAATACTGGCCAGGTATTTAGCATCTGTTCTCGAGGCTTTGGCCCCTACAGTAAGTTTTCATTTTAGTAATGAGCCATTGCAATACAGGGAAATCGTTACTTTCTATTCGCAAGTCAGAAAATTGCCTGATATTCTCTTCTCCTTCCCTTGAGTGGCACGAGGCTGCTACTATGGTTGGCCGGCTGTCAACAATGGAACTTAACGCTGAAATTGATGTAAATTTGAAAAGGAGGATCATTTAGTAAGGGAATGCCTTCATCATCCAGCATCAACACACACCGACACAGACACACACAGACACACACCGGCAGACACACACCGGCAGACACACACAGACACAGACACACACACAGACACAGACACACACACAGACACACACAGACACACACAGACACACACAAGCGTCCACATTGGAACAGTCTCATCGCCATTTTCTACTGGCACACTTACTTTGATCTTTGTTTCACCAAAGCCCAGTGCCACCAGGTTTTCAGGTGTCAGAGTGTACCCATCCAGCTCAATCATCTACACACAAACAACAACAGCATAGACATGTTTACAAACAAAATAACCATCACTCTGTGAGAGTGAAGCATGGCCATGTGTACACGTTCATGGACATCCAGAAAGCATGGTCACAGCATTGTAGAGGACTAGAATGGGGGCGGTGGCCAACCGATAGCAGCACGTACACGCACACGCACACACACACACACACACACACACACACACACACACACACACACACTAAAACGAGTATGCTGGATATGTATGACATATGAAAATGACACTGGTCTCCGGCACATGATAATAGTGCATGAATGACTTGTGTACACAGTAAAGCACAGTATACATGTACATGCTGACTAATGGCTCTGTGACATCTCCTCTACAACTGTGTTGTAACTTGTCTAAGAAAGGCAACTGACAATGGACATGCAACATGACTGCGCATTCACAGCTTCACACCATTGCAGGTTTCCACACAAGCCACAAGTAGGCAGGCAGGCAACGTAGAACAAGCTTGAACTGCAAATACTGTAGCAGCACCAGTAATGAAAGTACATATGCACACTGGCCACCGTTGCACCTGCCACCATTAGTCCATTACTCACCTCGGGCAATGTATCCGGCTTAAGTCCTGCATCAGTGGGATCCATTTTCTGCATGAACAGAATGATACATCGCCACAGATTACAGAGAAAGGGAGTGAGACGATGAAGAGGTAACAAGTCAAATCACGAATAATACACCGCCGCCTCCCCGAACCATGCATTACTCCCCAACCAAATGAGCTCCAAAAAGGCCATGCCATTTTGAACTGTACATGTTGCTGCCTAATGGGGAACTTGGACATCATCACATGAATACAGCGCAACTTCAATTGGCAATATCTGATGAACAATTCACTTCAACCTCCTCTGAACAAAGTACATTTGATCTGGCAGCAAAAAGGATTATCTTACTGTTGGTTTCACACATCCACTACAGTACTGCCGGGCGCCGAAGAACGGCCAGGCTAGAATTTCATCAAGCACAGCATACCAATGTATACACGAGGACTCAACTGCCCATCGACTGTAGTACTATCATGGAAATAAGAACGGTCTAGGCTAGGAATGAGGAGGCTGACCCCCAGTTCTTCGGCGACCGACAGTACTGTATTTCGTACCAAACATCCCATTATAATAAATTTAAATTTTGCCACTATCCGGATTTTTTTAACCAATTTTACCAATTTTAATACGCCCCTAACCAGACGGGAAATTTGCATTTCGTGAGTAACCATGGCAGTCATATTTTTGGTAGGTAGCATGTCAGTTTATTGACCCAGCGGCACGTAAGTTGTTCATTGGTCAGTGCCCTGGCAATGGTCATGTGCCATGCCATACTTGATAGAGCATTCACACGACGTGCACACCCACGTTTATTGAACCATTTCCAAAGATATTTGCTCGCATACGGCAGGTCTGGGACACAGGCGTGCACCCAAGTCGTGAACTTGACCAGGGCCCTTGTGCTCATGATTATATTTTGAGCTCGAGCAAAAGTGTCGGGAACTGGAATTCCCGCCATTTTCACGAGATCACGATGGATATATTGACGCGGGCAAAATTTCCCCAGAACCGTGGAACTGGGTCACGGTTTGCAAGTGACTTCATGGTCGCACGTCGTGCGAATGGCCTATAATCCTTTAGTTGTGTTAACACAGTCGTGACAAGTGAAACCCGGGGCAATGCTCAATCAGTACAGCGCCATGAACGGATTTCGATTACTTTGTGTTCAGGTGTGAGGCCGTGCGGCCTTCGGCGCTGCAAGTGTACATTGGTCTGCAATTGAGGTGCCACATTAGTCGTGCATGTGCTTCGCACATTTTTAAAATTTGTAACATGGAAAAATGTGGGCACAAGTTATGCGATCCAGCCCACCAACTAAACTAGACTTTGAACAGTCAAGACGTGCACAATCTAGCACAAAACTGACAAGTTGGAAGGCCATCGGTTAGCGCTGTCGAGCAGTGCTCAAGCTGACTTTCGTGCAGTGGAATTACAATTTTTCCTTGGCTCACCATTCTGATCAGCTGAATTGTTGAAACAATTATTTAATTATTTTGTGATTTTTTAAATGTACAAATCCACGTGCTTTCACCACGTGCTTTCAACAATTAAAAAAACAAGAGCTGAGAGATAAGCTTACGGATAAGATACGTTACATTATTACCACTGTAGGAGTACAAATGAATGAAACATGAACATCTCGAAGATACAGCTAGCTACAGCTCAGGTCTAGTGGGAATTCACTTTTATGTGACGGGGTTATGGCGTGTTGGATTAGCAGAGTATACTGATGCTTTGATCGATGGTCACACAATTTTCATGTTGAGAAGAAGAAAAAACTCACCAGAATTGAGAGATGAAGCGCTGATTCGTTCGTGTCGAGCAGAAGAGCCGCGCTGCTGATGACTCTAGTTGTTGTTGAGTGCACGGCCTGATCACTGGTGGCGCTTGCAAACACTGAAAGTGAAACAGCCGAAGAGAAAGACCACGGGCCAACCGATACTTGATTCCGGCAGCTTTGTAAAATGCTGGAGAATGCACGTGTCGTTGCGTGCACACGTGTTGCGTTGCCTTTGAAAAAGCGAATGGGGCGCTATTTCCAAGTGCACATCTAGCGTTGCACGCAACTCGTTGCCGAACCGTTCGTAGATCTACGTAACGTCGTGGATCGAACAACACGGTACAAGGCCGGTCAGGACAAGAAACGATCTCGTGCTGCTGCTGCTGCTAGTTGTACAATCATAAATAATGGTTGACCTGTGTCAGTTTGATGTCCGACTACAACAAAAACTTTTAAAAAGTACAGGTAGATTTACCATGGATGACACCAACAGGCGCTATATTACTAGGCAACACCGATAGATCTAGTACAGGTTTTATCAGGTTCATCAGCATGCAGATGAGTTTAGTGAGTAGAGCTAGAGCAGTAGAGGTGGGTGTTAGCATGGTTAGTGCTCGTAAACTAGTACATGACTGTAGTAATCTCTGTCTGACACTACGAGCTAGCTCTTTGTCTGAGTGAGAAGTGCATGCCGGCAGCACAGCGTCGCTTGTGCCCACGCGTGCTGCGAGGCACAGCGCTGCGCTAGCTCATTATGATTAGACATTACGGAAAGCTCCACATCGCCATCGGCCATTCATTGTTTCTTCGAGTTCGTACCATCGTCCACACGATCATGTGGAGACGGGTCGGTGTGCTAAATAAACTGTCCGCAGCATGCATGATCATAATACTAGAGGCCACGTCTGCGATCCAGGACAGGAACATGTCAAGGACAGGGCTTGAGTTTGGCTTTGGTCTTGTTCAAGTTGTTGTTTATTTTTATTTTTTACTTCGCAAGGCCAAACGGGCGATCTTGACTCTTGGACTTGGACTTGGGTGACACAGCTGTCTGCCTTGGCCTAGATAAAGACCAAGGCAGGCGGCTGTCAAAAATGCAGTGCTCATGGGGGTGTGCGCAGGGTGTGTTGGTATGTAATAGCTAGCATGCGCAAGGGACAAGCAAGGTCCAGTCACAACACAGTACTTCACAAGTGCTGGTTCATGCTATTGCTAATCATTCATAGGTCACAACCTGTTTTTGATACTGGAATGACGGCGTCCTTGACATGATGACAATGTCATTGTACATCATCCACCGCGACCACCAGCGTCAAAAACAGGCTTTCGTTCAAGTGACGCCGCGATGGTGGCCGCCGAACCTGCGCCTGCGGCTAGCTTCCATGATGTGGCTCACCGTGCATGTCGCGGCCTCGAGTCGCCGTGTAGGTAATACTAGTACATGTACTAGTACTTCGAAGTAGTATGTTAGAGAGAGAAGAAAAGAAGACGAAGATCTGCAAGCCCTCATGACTTGTAGTTCCTTCGTCAGCTGGCCCAACTAGGTTGCACTCCACCATGGGTCTGTGTTGGCACCAGGTTCGGCAAGGGTTGCCTCGCGTTCCGGGTCGCCCAACTGTGGAAGACCTTTACTTACCCAGCGATATCCGTGCCATCTCCACGCTCCGCCAGTTTCTCGCCAGCATGATCCCGCACACCCTTAGCTATAGTAGTACCTAGAGTACCAAACGTCCTGCATGAGTGCTTGATCCGCTGGCTTAGTTTCTCTCCACCTCCATTATCCCTCCCCAATTTCATTGATTTACTGCTTTTTATCTGCATTCGCCACCTTTTCATTGGGCAGCCTTTGCCCGTTTGGCTTGCGACACAACAAGGTCGCAAACGCGTGATTTGCAGATCCTCCCGCCCTGGATACGCGTCTGCTCCAACCATCCATTCATGTCCGGTTTTAGAACCAGTGCTGCCAAAGTTTCGCGACGCGCAACTAACTTAGTTACTTGCTGCCAAGACGTTTGCAGGGCTAGAACGCATCCATCACGAAAGACCAGGGATCCGGGAGTTGGACAAGTAAGTATTTTAAAGTAAGTAGTTAGTTGACCCGTGATGACATAGCCAAAAGCAAGAACTCCAGTTCATCTTCGTCGCCGCAAACATGAATACAAGACCCGAAACACTTCTTTCACGCCGTCGGAAAAGATTGGAAGCATGATCATGTGATGCATGCATGCACGACAACGACACCAAACGCTACAACAAAAAGTACAAGCATGAGCGCATATGACGCCACAATGGCACAAACATGGAGCTCAGTCTCAACCCGTAGCCAAACTGAGCCGCAAAGGCTGAGGGTTGGGCGAGCGAATGGCAAGAATGCGACGTGACCACAAGGACAACTATTGTTAGTTCAGAGCTGATATATGGTATAGTACAAGCACATGCATACCATGTCGCCTGCATGATCAACCAAGCGAAGAGCGATGTCGGGAAGATATCCAAGTCGATTCTGGAGAGAAGGGTCAAGGATATCGTTCTATTCCCAATGGTTTGGGAGGCTGGGAGACAACGAAAACAGGGTTTTGTTTGTTTCGGTGTGGTAGAGTTTTACCTGTCCATTTCGGAAGAGCTCTTGTTAATGACATTACAGTTTGCCGGGGGCTTCACAACGGTTCCCCCACAAGATGAACGCACGATTCCTCCATGCCAGGAAGTCTCTGCTGCTTCGCCTGGGCAAAGAATGGAGTAGAATTTAGAAAGGGAAGAGGGGTATTCGATGCCACTATGGGATGCTATGATGGACTGAGGTAAAGTGTGCATGTCGCTTTTGTGAGTTTGGTCGCCCGCACACTGGCTCTTATCGGTGGTGTACAATGACGATGGCAATTGGCATTGGCCTCTACCGTGATGATGGGCTGGCAGTACTCAAAATGTGTCGGGACCGGAAGTAGACAGGATCAAAAAGGACATGACCTACTCGTACTAGTATACGTCTTCGAAAACCTAGGCCGCGCAGGATTACCATCCAGGCGAATCTCGGTTGACCTCCTTGACATCACTAAACATCGATCAGGCAATATCCGAGTTCTTATCGACCATACCGGAAGCCAAACGATCGACCACTGTGCAGTGTGCACACCATGTACCACCTGCACCAGTCCAATGACGCACCAGTCATCATCCATGCAGAACTAACTTTAATACCCTCGTCCATCAGCCGACGACTAGCCGACATTCCAACGGACCGAGAGACATTCCAGGACACGTCCTAACTGTACAACAATGCACGCAGACTGAGAGATAGCGGATATACGGAGACCGTCCAGTTCGTGGAAGAACGGAAGACGGGGCGAAAGAAGAAACAAGGAAGTCGAAATCGGAATGTCACACGGCTAACCCACCATTTAGCAAGAGTGCATGTGTCAACGAATATCGGCCAACGGTTTCTGCAATTCGTGGACAAACATTTCTATGTGTAAAAAGGATGCGAACTTGTACATTGTACAAGTATACAGGACTACAGTCTACAGGTTACTAGTATTCAACCGGAACACTCTTATGAAAGGTCAACTACAGCTGTATGCCAAATATCGGTACCATACTGAAAATTGCAAGAAACATAATAACGGTATTATCAACAATGACCAACGCAACGAGACCAACCCGGATCGTGACACCGATGTGAGAACCTGTAACTGCCGTGTCAAAGAGAATTGTCCCCTGGATGGAAATTTCCTCACCTCGAGTGTTGCGTACTGTGCGCAAGTGACTGTGGAGTGTGGGCGACACTATCAAAGAGTACACAGGACTAACGGAAGGGATATTCAAGACGAGATGCAACGGCCATCAACAATCCATTCTGCACCGGAAATATGAGAGCTCAGCGCGACTGTTGAGACATCTACATGTACATGCATGGAGGCCAAGGGATGAAGACAGCCATACAGAATTGAGCAGTCAGTCGGGAGGAGAGCCGAGCCATATCCAATACCTCGAGGCGTGGCTATCTTTGTCTAGCCGAGAAGCTGGAGATTGCCTGGGCCGATACTTGAAACCCACAAGGGATCAAAGCTCGTGTCTGTAGTAAGTGTTGTCATGAGAACAAGTTCTGCCTTCGTAACTTTGTCCGCAAGGTCGCGTGAATGAAGCTCTGTAGTTGCTAATTATGCCAGTACATGTACAATTATGTACCAGTCTTTTGTTTGCTTGATTGTTTGTTCTGCATGTTTATTAGCACCTACTAGTACTTTAAGCCTCCCAGCCAGCAGTGATATTTTCACCTGATGCATCATTTTGATACCACCTTTGCGCTACTGTTACATGGACGCAGTCTTATCCACGTAAAGCAGCTTTCCCTCCTCGCCTCGCTCCCCATACAGGCTACTACCTGTTTTGGACCGTCAGTAGGCCTGATGATCATGTGTCGTGTCCAGGCGTTGCTACATTAGTCATTATCTGTTTGTATTCCTGCTCCAATCAAGTGTTTACCGTGGCGTCGATGTGTCTCGCCAACGAATAGCGTTGTTGTAGAACTCTCACTATTCATGCTTTGCTGGCTCCCTGCATGCACGCTCGCTTCTTTCCGAGCGCACTGTATAAAGCTGGATGCTTTGCATAGGTTGTTGTTTGAATTCTTTATTCTCACGATGGCACCATCGCCAATAAGAGATGTTGTTGTTGTTGTTGTTGTTGTTGTTGTTGTTGTTGTTGTTGTTGTTGTTGTTGTTGTTGTTGTTGTTGTTGTTGTTGTTGTTGTTGTTGTTGTTGTTGTTGTTGTTGTTGTTGTTGTTGTTGTTGTTGTTGTTGTTGTTGTTGTTGTTGTTGTTGTTGTTGTTGTTGTTGTTGTTGTTGTTTTTGTTGTTATTGTTGTTGCTGCTGCTGTTGTCGTTGTTGTTGTTGTTGTTGTTGTTGTCGTTGTTGTTGTTGTTGTTGTTGTTGTTGTTGTTGTTGTTGTTGTTGTTGTTGTTGTTGTTGTTGTTGTTGTTGTTGTTGTTGTTGTTGTTGTTGTTGTTGTTGTTGTTGTTGTTGTTGTTGTTGTTGTTGTTGTTGTTGTTGTTGAATTCTTTATTGTTGCTGTTGTTGTTGTTGTTGTTGTTGTTGTTGTTGTTGTTGTTGTTGTTGTTGTTGTTGTTGTTGTTGTTGTTGTTGTTGTTGTTGTTGTTGTTGTTTTTGCTGCTGCTGGTGCTGTTGCTGCTGCTGTTCTGTTGCTTGTGCTTGCGGCTAAATACTTGGTTCTGAAGTGAAGCTTCGGTCTTCTTGTGTGATGAGGGTGAAGAATGGGTACCTGGACTCCTGATATATTTCCATAAAGAACTGAACCTCGGAACCAAAAGCATCCTGATTGTACATGTACATGTATGTCTGGCCTACTCCCCGGTCATGAGTCATGACACGTGCATAGCGAGAAACTCAAACTTGCAACATAGCCT